TACAATGAGAGATCAAAGTAGTACAGGGATATGCAGACATGCTTGATGACCACAGAAGCACAACAAAGATAAACAAAATGAGATATCAATACATGTACGTCAGTGAAGTACACTTATTTTTGAAAAATATTGGCGAAATAAATTTGCATTGAATAAAGTGTAAATGAAAATCACATAACATGAAGTAAACAGTTTGTTTGTTAACATGATGATGCCACAGATCTTGTGCATACAAGCATGAAAATATGCAAGATTAGATATCTAAAAAAAGAAAACAAGTAAATCACTCACAGTGTCATCCCATGACATCTCATCAACACCTGTCTCAAACAAGGTCTCATACTCAAAATTAATCCTCTCCTAAAGACAAAGCATTTTAAAATAAAGGTTAATTCACAACATGAGCTATAATATTAATTTTAAATTATAATTCATTAGTGTGGCCATGTTCAATGTACATGAACAATACTATTGATCTGAGTTCCCCATTGAGCAGGGCAGCTAATAATGACAGAATCTTCACTGGCCAAGACATTCAACTTTAAATAAGTAAATTAATATTCTGAATAATTATTGTTCATTGAAACTATTGTGCTGTTTCTGATTGGCTCCAATCACCCCGCTAACTCTTCATAACAAACAGGTGCTTACCATGTTTGGAAGATGCAAGTAATAATTATACCATCGATTGGATGGTACATCTGATTGTAAATAAAACTGATCAATGGTATATCTGATTGGAAACGAGGTGGCTTGAGCAAACATGAACTAAACAAAAAGGCATTCACAGCTATTCGAAGACAAAATAGCTGAACTTGTGACTTAAACTGAGTGGAAAAAATGCAAGAATATGCAAAACATATTGCTCAATGAATTTTAGGTACTTTTTAAGGAGTATCTGCATCTGTTGATATCCTGAAACCGTGCCAAGAAATAGGCCAAAGTTTTGAAGAAAGTCTAAGAGGTAAGCATGTTGATTTGAATGAAAAATAAAACAATTTTATTATTACATTTGGGATGAACATCCTCCTTGATCTGCATAATTCTTCACATCCTATTCAGCCTCGTTCAATAATTGCTAAATATTCTGTGTTTTTTCCAGTCAAAGCACTTAAATCTGCAATCTCTCAAAAATCATGACCCCTTCCCATCTCACCAACCCCTTCATAATCTGGAAACCTGCTTTACACTGGTTCATCTGCAATACTTAAGTTCATATGCAAAGTACATACACACTGTACAACTGATGAGCACTGTGCAGATTGCCTTTATTTTCTTTTTCACTTTCTTGAGGTAGCACGTTTTATTTATTTGCTCATTATTTTTATTTATTTAGCTTCACCTAACTAGTACTAGAACTGTATACATGTACATGTGTGTTTTAAGGAAAAGGTATACCTTTAAGAGGCCACCAAGAACAAGCTTATTAACATAAACAGCTGCTGTGTGACCAAAGTAGAATATCAAAGGAAGACGTAGTCGATCAGGGCATTTATAAAATGCTGACTCATCTGAAAGAAACACGTGTTAAGTTAATTCTTATATAAGATGACAAAACAACCTTGATGTGGGCATTTGGAATTTAACCTCTTTTGTTTGCAGAATCAGTGGTTTTCAGTTTTCATATTTATTTCTTTTTTTTTACCTTTTGTCTGACATTTGCCCACCCATACCCATGTGAATAACAATTCTTCGGCAACTAAAAAGGGAAAAACTCAGAAAAGGTATGCATACATGCATATTGTATTAAGTGTGTGTATGAATGAACCAGTGCAAAAATGTACTGTATTGTACTTGTATAGCTAGAATATTGCATTGTCATGAGGCAAATCTTATAGTTGCATGGTTAAAACTCTTTTTAAATCTGCTTAATGATGTCAAATAAAATTATTAGTCTACATCAAAGGGCCAAGAGAATCGAAGCTGACTGGATGCAAATTAAACATTATTGTAGGTCTGGCACATATCTTGTGGTTTATTGTTTCAACTTTTATATTTTCCTTTGTTTTTATTGTACGGTGAAAAATTGCATATATATGACAATGTGTTTAAAAGAAAGAAAATTAACATTAAACCAAGGATGAAATTTATTACAGCACAACATAATTACATAACACCAAGCAGTTACATCATTAAGGCCCACATCGGCCTTTGGCTGCTGTTTATGAGAGACTTAACTCTAGCTATGTAAGTTTCTTATTGATAAGTTTCACCACAGGGCACCCACACAATCTGTTTGTGTGGCCGATTGTTATTTTATAGTAAATGCACTGGATTTACCGTTTGCTTCACCTATAGCGATATATCGCTAACTATGTATATAAATCAACGTTAAATAAACGATAATAAACGATAAATAAACGTTGAATTACCTTACCTGTGGTGTATAGTCGTCCTTTTGCCTCAAAAGCGGTTTTTTGAGCGATTTTGAATGAATTTGAGTTCGCCGTTGACTGTTCCATATAATAGAAGGACAAGGGAGGAATCCTTGTTTTGAAAGGGTTCCAGCGCCGGAGCGATTTTTCCCCCAAAATCGCATCACTCCGCTTTCAAACTTCGCAGCATAAAGGTCAAAAGATTCACGATTCTTCTTGTACCTTCCAATCGAAAATCGATCCAAACGGCCCGTAGCTAGCCCTCGAAGAAAATCAAAATCCTACAGTATTCGAGCGACTGGAATGCGTAGCAAGATCCATACGTGCCAGCCACAAACCGTCCCGCTGATTGCCTCTTTTTGATTGGATGTCGTTAAACAACAAACGCTTTCCAAGTCTTCTTCATCAGTTATTATTTAACCATTTGTTTAACGACATCCAATAAAAAAAAGGCAATCAGCGGGACGGTTTGTGGCTGGCACGTATGGATCTTGCTACGCATTCCAGTCGCTCGAATACTGTGGGATTTTGATTTTCTTCAAGGGCTAGCTACGGGCCGTTTGGATCGATTTTCAATTGGAAGGTACGAGAAGAATCATGAATCTTTTGACCTTTATGCTGCAAAGTTTGAAAGCGGAGCGATGCGATTTTGGGGGGAAAAATCCCTCCGGCGCTGGAACCCTTTCAAAACAAGGATTCCTCCCTTGTCCTTCTATTATATGGAACAGTCAACGGCGAACTCAAATTCATTCAAAATCACTCAAAAAACCGCTTTTGAGGCAAAAGGACGACTATACACCACAGGTAAGGTAATTCAACATTTATTTATCATTGATTTATATACATAGTTAGCGATATATCGCTATAGGTGAAGCAAACGGTAAATCCAGTACATTTACTATAAAATAACAATCGGCTACACAAACAGATTGTGTGGGCTCCCTGTGGTTTCACCCTATTCGCTCTTGACCTTTTCATTGCTTTTAATAGTAGAAAATCGTGCTACTGGAAATATTTTTAGTTTCCAACTTCCTACAGTGGTTTAACCTTATGAACTAGTGGTTTTTCGTTTTAATCACACGGCTCAGCGACACGAAAATCCGACCGAATGTGAATATTACATCAGGTGGAAAACTACTTTGGCCGTTTACGTAACCTTACAATAAAACTCTAGCGACAATTTACATCCAAGTGATCAAAACATAAGCTCAAGCTTACATATGTACGTGAAACGGGATAATATCTTTATGGTGTCACTATTTTAATAAACAGCAAACAATATTTACGAGCGTGAATCATCTTAAACTTGGGACAAGTACCTCATCAAGACATTAACTGGAAGCAAGACACGTGCTTACCGTATTAACCAGCGGTGGATCGAAAAATCAGACATTTTGTCTGAAAATATTTGTCAACACATATCCAGGATCATGCACTAATTCGCGCCAACATTCACGAGTTTAATCACACCGACTGGTTAGACGTTTTTGCTACTCTTCTTCCATAGAATGCCTTATACCAAACAGCTACAGCATTAGCATGAATTAGCATGTTTGAACGATTTTCAGTCCGAAGATTTAAGCTTATTACAAAAACTATAAACAAAAGTCGAGGCCAATGGGTTATAAAATTTGACTCACCTTTTAAAGCCTTGAACAACGTTTCGTAAAGGTCGAAGCTATTTTCAAAATATGCCTTGATTTCACTAGAGAGAAAAACTCAAGATTAACTCTTAAGCCGCTACTAAGGAGAAACTAGGAAAATACATGCAAGAGCAAGCGTTTCCTGATATGACGTTGCATAACGGGACAGAATAATCTATCTAACCTTTTTGAGCAAGATGACAAATCACAAGGCTTCATTGATCGTAGGACATGTTTTCCACTTGGCTGAAATACTGCCATGTTTTAACTGTGGAAGATTCGTCCCTACACCTGCAACGACAATGAAGGAAGTTAGGATCGAACCAGCAGGGCCGGACGTTCGATTGATTGCCATTAGGCGGGAGAACCAGTGATAAAGGCACATGCTACATTTTAACCAATCAGACAACGCCAAACGTGAACCCTATGGGGGTTGACGGGGAGGGGTTGGGGGCGGGTAATACGTGAAGTCGGTTCGCAAAAGCTGATCGAAAGCTTAGCACCAATTTCGGACCTTTTTAATTGATGCAAACTACATGGATTACGGAAATTAAACAAACTCCCTCTTTGCTTACTTATATTCATATTTTTCGAGTACCTGAAACCTTCTATGCATGTTAATTAGCCAGTGTGCAAAGATCGAGCTTTTACCTTCTAACAAGACATCTCGAGACATCATGAGACATAGAGGGCAAGTATACTATAGAGGACAAGTATAGAATGACCAAATTTGCCACCATTTTGTAGAAATTAAGGTGTGTAAGCTAGCTGCCTCTAAGAAAACGAAAACAAAGACGAAAGACCCTGTTGGAAGTCCCTCGTCAGCTTGTGATCTGCGTGTGTGTGTCTAGAATTTTGTTTGGGTGTGTTCAAGTTCTTATAATTAAAACATGATGAATAAATAGACAGAAATTGACAGAAATATGCAGCGAGGGCGGTTCCGATCCTACAAGAACTGTTCGTTATGTCACACTGTTATACTTGAAATGCAATCATTCAAGAAGCAAGTTGGAGTATTTCCTGGGGAGTATTTATTAGTAGATGACTTCAGTTTGAAAGGAAACTTCCTGAGACATGAAGCTTTCAACAAATATATGATCAAAGACCTGCAGGGGAACTTTTTTTAACTCTAATGTTTCGCCTTAGTAAATTAGCTTATACTGTATGTACTATACCTTATGCTGACGTAAAAAAAATGATTCATCTATCTCTCTTACCTGTGACTATTGTAAGGATCAATACAGTGCAAACTGGCCGCTTGCAACTTTGATAGTGGATCGGTCGCCGTAAGTCCGCTGTAAATAATGTGAAACCATGAACGGCATGACAAGGCATAGCATGATGAAGCAATACGAAGCGCCCGCTTAGATTAGCTTTGTAATCATGAATTATATGCATGCATGCGTATGACCCAATTGTGTTAATCCTTCAGTCAATAAAAACGTTATGAACAATGATTATAAACGGCTGGATGCTACAGACATTTAGCCTTCGCAGACTACAGACATCTTGTTGTATATAATCATCATGAATCATTTGTCTTAAGTCCAGGCCAAGCTCCTGTAGGAATGACATGGGTGTACAGTACGGTGACGCGTGGGAAGCGAGCGGGGGAGGGGGTAAGTACGTGTAAGTGACATTGAGTGTACTTTTAGAGGCAACAAAACGAATTAAGGAGGCAAGTAATTAATAAAAAGTAACCAAATTAATGAAGGTTAGAATAGAGACAGAGTTTAGGCGGTGTATAATTTACCAGGAGCCCATCAAATCAAATTTGATGGGCTCCTGAATTTACCAAATGCCATCATTAAGCGACTGAGTCATTTTCAATTTAGGCCGCCCTCCCGGGCAGAGGTGGGGGGACTCCCATATAAAAGTGAAGAGGATGCTCGTCGTCTTAGGGGTGTAGTGGTAACTTGTAGATTTTGGTCTTACTTTGGGTGTTTGCGACGAAAAGTTACTATATTTGCCCATGCATGGATCCCGTAGGGCTGTGCATAAAGAGATGTGAAAAAATGCCGTGATGTCTGTTTTAGTATAGTCTTCTTTAAGCGGTCAGCTAAATATTGAAGCACACCCAAATCGGTCTCCCTTGGCCTTAAGAGTTCAATTTTAATTTTCTGACGGGCATCCCCCTTACTTTTATATTGTAGTGCTCCCAGGGCCGTTTTTAACTCTACTATTCTGGCTTAAAGCATATTAATATTTAATTTTGTTATTAAAGGTCCGCCTGCGGATATTGAGAAGACATATGGCAATGTATACAAAAAAAAAACATTTTGCTGAAAAGATGGAATAATAACTTCATTCTATTGAGAGGCGTTTCCTGTTGCTTATCAGTGTATTGTAGCGTAGTCATCTCCGACCAATCAGGACATCGTACGTGTTCAAGGTCCACATGAAAAAACATATCTGTGAGTCATGCGGCCGTTTTAACTATCGCCACCAGCTTGTGGACAACTTTTTGACGCTAAGTTATCGCAAACTGTTGATAGTCATTCGATCTTGGTTCATTCTTTCTCTTCAGCTAACCAGTATGTTGCCATGCGGAGCTCTCGATTTCCTGTTCGGAAACTTGACTCTCAACTCGCAATAAAATGTAAATGTATTTATTATACATCTACCAAAGAAATACTGGGTGTGATTTCGCGCGCTAACATGATATATACTGTCGACTCCCGATAACTCGAACCTTCAAGGGAAATCGAAAAAGGTTCGAGTTATCGGGAGCTCGAAGAAAATAGCCGGGAGTAAGGAAAAAAAACAGTTTTTCAGCACAGTGAGCATTTTAATCACATTTAATTGTAAAAATGTTGGGCGAAAATTGAAAGATACTGGTAGATTATAAATCACAGCGGAAAGTAACAAAACGTTGCCTAAATAGAGCATGCATTTTACTTTTTGAGAAGTAAAGCTATTTCACGTTAGATTTGTGAGAAACAACATCAGCTTCCACTATCAATCCACTAGTAAACTATATGCCTACAGTGACACGTCAATGGGAAGTTCAAAATACAATGCTTCGGAGGCAGTACACTCTTTTTCCCCGACTTTTAAAGGGCTCAAAACATGGTTCGAGTTACCGAGGGTAAAATTATATAAAAATGATCTGAGGGGAAACAAAAATTACTTCGAGTTAGCGGGAGTTTCGAGTTATCGAGGGTTCGAGTTACCGAGGGTAAAATTACAGTAAATGTATGACGGAAATCCAGGGGAAATCGATTTTTGTTCGAGTTATCGCGAGGTTCGACTTAGCGAGGGTTCGAGTTATCGGGAGTCAACTGTGTCTCAGTATCTTCATGCGTGAAGAGATCACCGTTGCTATGGAACCCTGTGGGGGTTGACGGGGAGGGGTTGGGGGCGGGTTATATATGAAGTTGAACTTTTCGTAAAAGTTTATCGGAAGCTTAGCACCAATTTAGCTCCTTAAACTTTTCAAAAATTGATGCAAACTACATGGATTATGGGAAATTACGCAAGCGCCCTCTTTGCGTACTTTTGTTAAATATTTTTGGAGTATCTGACACCGTCTATGCATGTTAATTAGCCCTATTAATTCCTCAATTACTTCTACAGTGTGCAAAGAGCTTTTACCTTCCAACGAGACATCATGAGACATAGAGGACAAGTATACTATAAAGGACAAGTATAGAATGACCAAATTTGCCACCATTTTGTAGAAATTAAGGTGTGTAAGCTGCCTCTAAGAAAACGAAAACAAAGACGAAAGACCCTGTTGGAAGTCCCTCGTCAGCTTGTGATCTGCGTGTGTGTGTCTAGAATTTTGTTTGGGTGTGTTCAAGTTCTTATAATTAAAACATGATGAATAAATAGACAGAAATTGACAGAAATATGCAGCGAGGGCGGTTCCGATCCTACAAGAACTGTTCGTTATGTCACACTGTTATACTTGAAATGCAATCATTCAAGAAGCAAGTTGGAGTATTTCCTGGGGAGTATTTATTAGTAGACTGACTTCAGTTTGAAAGGAAACTTCCTGAGACATGAAGCTTTCAACAAATATATGATCAAAGACCTGCAGGGGAACTTTGTTTAACTCTAATGTTTCTCCTTAGTAAATTAGCTTATGCTGTATGTACTAAACCTTATGCTGACGTAAAAAAAATGATTCATCTATCTCTCTTACCTGTGACAATTGTAAGGATCAATACAGTGCAAACTGGCTGTTTGCAACTTTGATAGTGGAACGGTCGCCGTAAGTCCGACGTAAATAATGTGAGACCATGAATGATAGCATGATGAAGCAATACGAAGAGCCCGCTTGGATTAGCTTTGTAATCATGAATTATATGCATGCATGCGTATGACCCAATTGTGTTAATCCTTCAGTCAATAAAAACGTTATGAACAATGATATGCTACAGACATTTAGCCTTCGCAGACTACAGACATCTTGTTGTATATCATTTGTCTTAAGTCCAGGCTAAGCTCCTGTAGGAATAACATGGGTGTACAGCAGTACGGTGACACGTGGAAAGCGAGCGAGGGAGTGGGTGAGTGACATTGAGTGTACTTTTAGTGGTAACAAAGCGAATTAAGGAGACAAGTAATTAATAAAAAGTAAATTTGATGGGCTCCTGAATTTACTGAGTCATTTTCAATTTAGGCCGCCCTCCTGGGCGGAGGGGGGGAGACTCCCATATGAAAGTGAAGAGGATGCTCGTCGTCTTAGGGGTGTAGTGGTAACTTGTAGATTTTGGTCTTACTTTGGGTGTTTGCGACGAAAAGTTACTATATTTGCCCATGCATGGATCCCGTAGGGCTGTGCATAAAGAGATGTGAAAAAATGCCGTGATGTCTGTTTTAGTATAGTCTTCTTTAAGCGGTCAGCTAAATATTGAAGCACACCCAAATCGGTCTCCCTTGGCCTTAAGAGTTCAATTTTAATTTTCTGACGGGCATCCCCCTTACTTTTATATTGTAGTGCTCCCAGGGCCGTTTTTAACTCTACTATTCTGGCTTAAAGCATATTAATATTTAATTTTGTTATTAAAGGTCCGCCTGCGGGTATTGAGAAGACATATGGCAATGTATACAAAAAAAAAACATTTTGCTGAAAAGATGGAATAATAACTTCATTCTGTTGAGAGGCGTTTCCTGTTGCTTATCAGTGTATTGTAGCGTAGTCATCTCCGACCAATCAGGACATCGTACGTGTTCAAGGTCCACATGAAAAAACATATCTGTGAGTCATGCGGCCGTTTTAACTATCGCCACCAGCTTGTGGACAACTTTTTGACGCTAAGTTATCGCAAACTGTTGATAGTCATTCGATCTTGGTTCATTCTTTCTCTTCAGCTAACCAGTATGTTGCCATGCGGAGCTCTCGATTTCCTGTTCGGAAACTTGACTCTCAACTCGCAATAAAATGTAAATGTATTTATTATACATCTACCAAAGAAATGCTGGGTGTGCTTTCGCGCGCTAACATGATATATATATCTCAGTATCTTCATGAGTGAAAAGATCACCGTTGCTATGGAACCCTGTAGGGGTTGACGGGAAGGGGTTGGGGGCGCGTTATATATGAAGTTGGACTTTTCGCAAAAGCTTATCGGAAGCTTAGCACCAATTTAGCACCTTAAACTTTTCAAAAATTGATGCAAACTACATGGATGACGGAAATTAAGCAAGCGCCCTCTTTGCTTACTTACAATTTTATTTTCTGAGTACCTGAAACCTTCTATGCATGTTAATTAGCCCTCTTAATTCCTCAATTGTATCTACAGTGTGCAAAGATCGAGCTTTTACCTTCCAACGAGACATCATGAGACATAGAGGACAAGTATACTATAGAGGACAAGTATACTACAGAGGACAAGTATAGAATGACCAAATTTGCCACCATTTTGTAGAGAAATTAAGGTGTGTAATCTGCCTCTAACAAAACAAAGACGAAAGACCCTGTTGGAAGTCCCTCGTCAGCTTGTGATCTGAATTTTGTTTAGGTGTGTTCAAGTTCTTAACACATGATGAATAAATAGACAGAAATTGAGAGAAATATGCAGCGAGGACGGTTCCCATCCTACAAGAATTGTTCGTTATGTCACACTGTTATACTTAAAATGCAATCATTCAAGAAGCAAGTTGGAGGATATATTTATTAATTAGATAACTTCAGTTTAAAAGAAAACTTCCTGAGACGAAACTTTCTGCAAATAAATGATCAAACACCTGCAGGGGAACTTGCTTTGAGCTCTAATGTTTCTCCTTAGTAAATTAGCTTATGCTATATGTACTATACATTATGCTGACGTAAAAAAAATGATTCATCTATCTCTCTTACCTGTGACAATTGTAAGGATCAATACAGTACAAACTGGCTGTTTGCAACTTTGATAGTGGATCGGTCGCCGAAAGCCCTCCGTAATTAATGTGAAACCATGAGTGGCATGACAAGGCATAGTATTCCAAGTGGGCGCTTTGTATTGCTTTATCATAGCTTTGTAATCAGGTATTTATGCATGCATGCGTATGACCCAATCGTGTTAATCCTTCAGTCAAGAAAAAAAAGTTATGAACAATGATTGTTACAGACATTTAGCCTACGCAGGCTACAGACATCTTGTTGTATTTATACATAAATCATTTGTCTTAAGTCTAGGCTAAGCTCCTGTAGGAATAACAAGGATGTAAAGGCATAGTGAAGTGACGCGTGGGAAGCGAGCGGGGGAGGGGGTAAGTAATTGCCAGATTGAGAAAAATGGCAATTAAAACTCAGACAAAAATTGGAAATTAGTCACTCTAACGTCATTCACTTTTCTTTACTGTGGTAACGGGAACAAAGCAACATTGTTCTGTATGTTTATTATAGAATCATTGTTACAAAAAAACAGGGGGACGAATAATTATACTTGAAATTCAAAACACGTCTTTTTCACTCCGTGCTTATCAAAACAATGGGTAAATTTGGAAGAAATAAAACCAGAAAAAAGAACAAAAAAAACTGGACGGTTTATATCTGTATGCAATAACGGCTCACCTAAAAAAGTTTGCCAGGTCATCGACGCCAGTTTGATTTCAGGTTAATATATAGGGATTTGAAATTTTGCAGTGATAAGGATAGTTATTTAACAATTATTCCTCGAGCCCAAATAGCTCTGTGTCAATAACCCATGATGCCAAAGGCCGAATGGGCTATTGACTCAGAGGCCATGAGGGCGAGAGGAATAATTGTTTTAGTAAAATCCAACTAGTCGGTCAAAAATATCGAGAATAAAAAAATGTTAGCTAGTTAAAGCTAGACTTTAATCCTTTTTTGCCACCAAAAAGCCCGCGTTTTTCGCTACTAGTGGGCTATAACGACTATAACATATAGCCTAGTAGTAGCTCAACCAATCAGAACGCAGCATTGATAACAGACCACCAGCTGGATTTTACTAATATGCAATAGCCTAAACGTCTATTCTGAATAAAACTTTGAGACACGAAAAACTGTTTGACTGCAGAGGTCCATGCAACACGTAAATATAACTGAAGGGTTCCTCTTGCCTGATCTCTAATTAAAGGGATGCCCGGCCCTAGCCATACGTCGCTTAAAGTGTAAAATAAAACAAAACTCAATGCACGGCTAACACTACGGCAATGGGCTGATTTATTTTTTTGATGAATTGCATAGCCTATAGGGATCCTAGGAGAGAGCTGTTCAATAAGCTAAAAAAGGAAACTAATCTTATTCTTGACTCTATGACTCCAAGCTCTTCCTTTACAACGTTGATAAGTATGAAGCAAGGAGAGAAAACGCAAAAAATTGTGGCTAAATACGTATATGATCGCTTCCGCGAAAGAGATAGACGCGCTAAATATTACCTTGTTTAAAAGTTGTAAAAATTTTACAAATGTACACCTCTGTAATTATTGCACGAAAATGTTTGTTATCGTTGTAAACACATGTGTCTGTAGGCGCTCTGTTGATAATAAAGCACTTATCCTATCCTATCGATCCTTTATTATAGGCCAATATTTCGGCTAACAAAATTAGCCTTCCTCAGGGCCAGAGCTATACCGAGAGAAAATATCTTTTAAAGGCTCCTAAAATTTTAATTCAAAATTTACATGAGTGGTTAATAATTGATTACAGTTATAAATACTAGATAGAATAATATACAGGAAAATGATCATACGATTTAAATAAAAATAGAAACAGTTCAATGCGGAGTCATTCCTTCGGTTCAGACCGTCTGGTGACAGGGTTGCCTCTATCTATGAGGTACGCTTTTCTTGCCTTAATTACGGCGTGGTATGCCGAGAGTGGGTTGTAATTCCAGCAGAATAAGTTCCATGTCTGCGATCGAGTGACGTGGGAAGAGACTGCTCTTGGTGGGGGTGTGCCGCCCGATTCTCCAAATCTTGACCCAAAAAAGTGTCATTGTGCAAAATTTTGGGAGTGTTAGCGGACAATTTATATTATGATGGGGCCCTTGTACACGAACCAATACTATTTTTGAAACCGCTCATTGTTTTTAAACCAAACGGCCTTCCATCCACACGAAATCAGTGAAACTGCTCATTCGCTTTCAAAAATATTCGTGTGGACAGAGCCTGAGTTGACAAGTGCAGATCTTGAGCGTTCCCTGACCGCGACACCAGACAGCTAGTCCCTACTAGGGTTCATCAATCCTATCTTCTTGAACCCAATTTTCTCTCACTCTCGTAATTTGGCATATTGCATTCCGTGCACACTCTTAATCCCGAATGTCTCCCCAATTTTGCTTTAATTAAATCCCGAATCCTGGACTTCAAGTAAGGAGAATGCCGGATCCTGAGAAACCTGTTAGGGACTCGCCTCTAAACGTGTGCGTGTTCGATCATAGAGCTAAGCCTGAATTACCCTGCGAGTAGAGGTTTCTGGCTTGCATGGCTTTTAGCGTTTACTCGAAGTGGTTCGCGTGGCTTGTCTGTCCCGTAGACGGAGCGTAAACAAACCAACTACCCAACAGATAAGGCACACAAATGACTTCGTAAACGCTAAAAGCCGTGCAAGAGAGAAACCTCTGCTCGCAGTGTAAGCCTGAATCTAACGCTGGACTGGAAAATAAAGGCCGTACAATTCATCGAGTCGGTGTTGCGATCATGACTGCCATCCCACACACTGATTCGTTTCTAAAACTCGCAGCTGCAAAAGTGTCCTCTTCTGGGCACCATAAAGCTTGTGCAGCCATCTGTATTCCTTCATCTCTCACTGCTCCAATGTACACCACGCAGGCTAACTTGCGCTGTCCATCATGTGTGCCATGTACCGCACCGCCCAACAGACGTGTAACAATCTTACAGATGCTTCTGCTTGCCCGGTCGCAACTCGGAGGAGAGTAATCTTCCATTGTTAGAAGATGCGATCGAAGGACTTCTTCCAAGATTTCTTGCAAATGGATGTCTTCAGCTTTAAAGCAGTTTTCTACGTAATTATTGTCGTCCTTAGCCTTTTGTCGACGATATGCCTTGCGACTGTCTTCAGAGATTTCTTCGAATTCTGCATTGTTACTGGCATCTAATTTTTCCAGATTGACTGCCAATCCATGGATCTGGTTTGAGTAGTCATTTATCGCAACTTCGTAGTCATTTACCGTGTTCACTGAGCTGGAAACATTTTGAGACAGGCGATCAGAAGGATCAGAGCCGCGCCTTTCTATGTGTACCAACTGTTCGAAAGCCTTTCCTAAGGAGGGGTACATACGTTTAGCCAGTCGACCTTTATTGCCTCCGTCATTACGCTTGCACCCAGCGGAAGAACTCACTTTTCCCAACAGCTGTATTCGAGATGCGGCTTTGCGTTTCAGATACGGGCGAAGTTTCCTTAAGCTAGACTGGGCGTCGAAAGAGCTCTTGGCCAGGCTTTTCTCACAAGGTACCGCAGGATCTGATAATCTTCTGCCAGGTCTCGGCGATAATTCTTTTACTACTGCGTCTGGATTGGATAAAGTTCTTAAGAGAGACCTTCGAGACTTTGGCGAGCTTTCTGCCGGTAACATCACGAATTTCTCTACGGTCGTTTTGCTCTCTAAACTCCCATCAAACTTTGTATTTTTAACTTTTCCTTTTTGAGTTTTAACTTCTGATTTTTCAGCCTTTGTTATTTCCTCGTTCTCGACGTTGCTCTGGAGTTTGTTTGTTTGCGTAACCAGCTCTAAATTGATCGGCCTCTGCAGTTCAAGTAGGTTCTTATTAAAGTCAAATTGCAAGCTTTGAGCCGGACCGGAGGCGAACTTTAACACTGGAGTAATCTTGAGTGTGATCTCGAATTCCTCATCGCTATGGTTGCAGCCTTTTTCTCCGGCGTCCTTGATGCCGTAATCGGCCATCTTTTCGTTCATTATGCAGTTTGCTTTTACGCAGCGACAACACATTGCGGCCTAAACAGAAGAACTCAGTTCTAAAAAAGAAGACAATAGTTTGTCCAAATCGCTTTGTCTCACTGAGGACTTTGTTATTTGTCGCTAATTCTTTAAATCCCAGAAGTGTCTAGTTCAATGCGTGCTTCAAAAAATTAATTAACAAAAGATTTTATTTGTAGAACTGCTCAAAGAAACAAACTGGAGGCTTCCGTGGCAAGGTTTAACTTGGATGGTTGAGCTTTTCATAAACTTTAATTAATCTAATGCCCTTTTCACACCCGCTAAACATGTTTAATCAAACCAGATTTCAAAAAAAAAAGATGAAAAACAGACAAGGAAGACTGGAACACAGGTTTTCACACTGGATTCAAATGAACTCACGTTTTGTAATTTCAGTAGTTTGCACTAAATTTGCAATTAACTTAAAATGAATATTGCACCTATACAAGAAACATGCTGTCCAAGGACTACTACTTGTATGGTAAACTTTAGGATTTTATGATTCCCACGGTAAAATGTGAATTCGAACCACCTCAGTGCATTGCACAATAAACAGTACCTGCATAGAAAAATAATGCTCATTTGAATCACCTTCTACAGGACAAAAACATTACACACAAAAGTACTGCTCCATAGCGTTCAATTCATTGCCTTTCCTTACTTAACGATTTGCTTTACAAGACCCAAAATTTGCAGTCCACTTACACAGCACCATAAACAGCGTCACAGAGAAGAAGTTGTCCGTAGCTCTCATTTGCGTGTACTCTCTTAGGTTCCCCACAGAACGGGGGCTATGTTTTGGCGTTTTTGATAAGGCGAGCGAATGCAAGTGCGAAGCAAGCGAGGAGCGTGACACGCGCGACCGGTGAATGCGCGGGAGGAGTTCTCTATGGGACTTAATTACAGTCAATAGGGCCATTTATACGAGGAAAAATAAGACGCGTCTTACATAAGACGCGTCTTAAATAAGACGTGAACTGTACCATTTATACAAGCATGTCTTATCTAATAAGACGCGTCTTAGCTAAGCCGCGTCTTATTTTAGACGAAATGTGCCGTTTATACGGAAAGTTCGCGTCTTATTCAAGACGCTTCTTATGTAAGACGCGTCTTTTTTTTCCTCGTATAAATGGCCCTATTGTAAACTTCGTTGCACAGCTTAATAAAAATTCTTAGCATTTTTTCGGTTAAAGTCATTCAATCTAATTCCCGTTTGTTAAAAGAAACCCAATAAATTTACTCCAGAGGCTCAGCTCAGGGAACGAGAATATTTCAGGGACGACACCGGATCCCTTGTCACTGCGCACATGCTCTAAGCATTGATCACAGAACACAAATAACCAGGCTCGTCCAAAGAGCATTCGTTTATACCCTTGTCTAAAGGAACGGGCGACAGATCATCGGTGCTGATCGAAATGATCGAAGTATCTAGGAACGAGATTGATTTGAAACTTAAGGTTCATTGTCAGTCAGAACATAGTTAATTGAGTGGAATGGTTATGAAACCCGTCAGACTCCTTTGTTATATGTTTTTGTGGACCTGAAAGTGCACAACGTTCAAAAGAATTCCTATCATTTTGATTGTATTGACCAATAAAAACGTTGCATTAATTTATTCCGTAACAATTTGCCAACAGAAAACAAAGGATTGTGCACTTTCACGGTGCTTTGAACATAAACTGCAGCACTGTTGTTTTTATCATTGATGTTTGCCGCTTTTCATAACCAGTCTCCTCTAATAACTATGGTCAGAACTTAAGCGGAGCTAGCTCGCAGTGCGAGCAAAATGAAAGTTAGACCCTCAGAAACTGGAGCATGATCTTTGGTTAGGTTTTCAGAAGCACAATATCACGCACAAGTATCATACCGCAATCCTGACTTTATGACAAAAGTACGTTGGTCGTTGTTGCTGTTTTTAATCATTTGAATTCAATAACATCGCTTTACTTTAAATAACATTCTTGTTACTGAATGACTGATGTTATTTGTTTTTATAAGTCTGTTAACAATTTAAAAAACTATCAACGGCAAAGTTAACGTTGTATGTTTTCTTTTTGCCCCGGTGTGTGAGTTTCGATCCAGCGTTACGCCGATTTGGGGTTGGGGTTCTTTAATTTGTTCTTTAGCCTGGTTCGATTTCTGTTATATGTTTAGAAAAAGATTCTAATAAGGAAAGGAGATCTTTGTGTCATATTTGGAAAAAAAAAGGAATGCCAGTTTCCTGAAAAATGAGAGTTAAATTAAGGCGCACTTTTCAAGCCGGAGACCGAAAAACCCCAAATTAAACACGCCACAAACACCGCCGTTCGAACAAAATGTTTGTGAATTCGTCATGCCCCCTGTACATCCTATAATAGTCTTTAGATCAAGGGAGGCTGTTTAGAAATCACTCGATATGGCCGCAATATCACTAAAATGTCTATTCAATGTCGTAATAAATTTAGCCAATCACGCTAAGATCAAATAGAAGTTAGCCGAAAGCGCGCGAAAATGAGCGTCAATCTGTGGACAGTGGCGGGAAATTTGTAACGAAGTCGTAAAGTGTCAAGGGCCGACCATTTGACTTTTGAGGAGAAGGGTATGGGTGATTTCAGAAAAAAAAATATCCTGCAGACTGATTCGAGGGGAAAAAATCTTGCAAGGAAATATATGGCTTTGCATGTCGGGGAAAAACATTCTATCACCAGAGGTTTGGAAGAAATAAATTTCTTACACAAACCAAATAACCAATACCTCCCCTTCCCCCTTCAAAAGTCAAATGGTTCGCCCGTTAGCAATGGAACTTAACGCAAACTGCAACACAACTTTTTTCCTAGAACTTTGTAGTTTCAATTGTTATGCTTGTCCCGCCGTTTGGACTATCGACTGTATTAAGAGGCGTGTATGAAGGCTTATTCCCAGTTGATGGTATCTTAGGTGAACCAGTGGACCGCACTTCCGGTATTTTAAAATCGTGATCACTTGGTCTTGGACCAGAGAGGGTGGGGAGGGGATCGTCTTCTTCCTCTACTTCCTGTTTTGAAGCTGCATTCTTTCTCGCTTTGTGTAACAGGCACACCACGATCGCAAATGCCACGAAAAGAATAAACAACAGTGATGCTAGGCAACCAATGACGATATTGAGGCGAGTTAGTTGTTCAGCTAATTGAAAAGAGAAAAGGCAAGGAATTTAGATCTCAGCAGTGAGAAATGAAAACATAGATTACTGTTCTTGAAGCACCAAGTTATAAACATGGTAGCCTGCTAGCAAGCTTTCCATGTGAGAGCTGGGTACGAGATTAGCTTTCCTTTTTAGGGAGTCGCAAGAAGCCACGCGAGAGTGGACCGCGAAAGGAGACGTGAGTGCGGGAGGCGGGTTCCCTCGCGCGTTCTCTCGCGCGTCGTGGCTCCCTTCGCTCGCTATATAAAATGGTGAGCGTGTTCGCGGGCTATAAAAATAGTTACTCATAATGGTTACTACACATCAGGGCTAACTTAATAGATAAGTGTTTTGAATTAACAAGTAAACCAACAGGTGAAGGTACGTAGCCGCTATAGAAACTGAAATGCACCTTGTTTTTCATTTATGAATCCGTTATGGGTCGTTGTGATCTACACAGAAATACTATATACGAAGACCAAGCCGGCGAAAACAGCCGTTCCTCCTTGCTCCTCGCCAGGAGGGACGGCAAAAAGACCCTATAAGAGGCTAGGAGCGAGGAGGAATGCGGCTGTTTTGGCAGGCTTAAATGAAGACCTGTCAACTCCCTAATAAACTAAGTGTCATGTAGAGTTCTTTTAAAATGTTCCTCACCATTCACCACTTTTATCTTCTTGGAGGCCACACCCAAGGAGTTTTTGGCCTTGCACTCATAAACACCAAAATCATCAGCAGAGGTTTTTTGAATATCAATATCGCTTTTGGAGGAGTACCGCTGCGAAGGTAAAGGATCGTCACCCTTGTACCACGTGATTTCCGCTATTGTTGTGTTTGCAATTTCACATTTTAAGGACAATCGTGCTCCTTGCTTGAGGTAAAGCTCGCCTTCGTATGCAGTCCCCCACGCGTGCTTTAGAACGGGAGTAGCTAGGAAAGAATCAAGTAATATTAGCATTGTTTTAATTAGGGACTGGTTCACGGTTCAGCGCATGCTCATTTATCAAAATGCTGTTTTTCTGTAGGGACATGCTGTATCGTCTATGCAAGCAATATGATCATGTTATAATGTTGCCAAAGAACCAATCTGCACACTCCCCTGGCAATCACTTGCACTTGATCAACTTAAATATTTGCAAATAGCTGTAAATTAATCAACCATGGAATAAAACCTTCGGGTCAACAATAAATTCAACGTTGGTAGTGTTGGCATAATCCACTAATTTTTTTCTGCGATCGATTTTATTACTCCTCCGCCCTACTTCAGGTTAATCTGAAATACAATTCTACTTTGAAATACACTCTGAGATCGCTGAGATACATGTGAGTGGGATTATTAACCGTTACAATTAATAATAAATTGGAAAGAAGTAATGTAATTAATGATTATGCGCTTAACCGTGAACCTGTCCCTTTAATGAATTAAATTTAGAGTTATTAGGCAACCTCGTTAGTGCACGAATATCTGATCGCAAAACGTCAGCTCCCTTTTTATTCCAGCTAGTACTGTAAAAGAGACTGTTTACATGCAAAGCTTGCTTTATAAAGCAGGCGGTTGCCAAACTTTACCAGAAAGTCCTTCAGGTTTCCGTTGGACTGTTGATCGATAACCTCATTAATTTTTTAATGAAAATAGATCTTTTTAGCTTGCAAGTTTTGTTTTCTCAATTCAGACCACGTGACGTGCATGGGGTACCATCACGTGGTCTGAAATTGGAAAACAAAACATACAAACTGGAAAGGTCTATTACAGGTCGCCTTATTATATCCTGGCCCCAGAGGTTTTTCTTGAAATGGTTCTTCGCGAAAGAGAGAGCGGCCGTTGGGACAAGGATAGCTTTTTTAAAGCTTCCTCAGGATGCAAAACAGATCATACTTAAATATTTCTGTATTCGAGTGGGAGAAAAGAGATCTTACTTACCCAATGAAGTCACCGTAACAGATGCAATATCATCTGGCTGAATACCATTACTAGCTCTGCAGGTGTATAGCCCCTCCATAGCTGACGCCTGATTTGTAATTTCCAATGTCCGGTTTTTGTGAATCAACTTCCGGTCTTTGTACCATGTTATTGTGGGCTCCGGGCCTCCTCGGGCAGTGCAGGTGAGTATCAAATCCTCTCCTGGCACGAGAGCTCTCATTGGCTCAAATGGGTTTATACGAGGAGGGTCTGTATAAAGAAATAACAAAAAACATATCTTGGAAACTATTAAAAAATTTCCGAATTGTTTATTCTTTTTCGGGATTTCTCCGAGGATAAAACGACTCCACTAGCCTTCACGAAGTTTCTCAAGGTATGGTTACGAAGGTCAGCACTACTGACTTTATTTTTTACTTCCCTGAGGAAAGGGTGTATGATGTAGGCACAATCTCAAGACCTACCAAACAGGAAAGTCGTTCCTAGTACTCTTCGGTTGTCTTTTTGTCTGGTATGATACAGGTACAACCCTCAAGAAGGCCAGTTAAAAGCCAAAATGTCAATTTCAAGTCGTTTTAATTTCAGAGCAAAAAAAAGAGACAATTTGTAATCAACAAAACCAAAATTTCATTCAAGAGAAACTGTAAAATATTAGGTGTCTTTCTCTTTAGGTGAGCCTGCGAAAGTGAAAGCGACAGTCAGAAATACGTCTGCGCGCGCAGGCTTTCTTCAGGCGCGAAGGAACGATAGTTTGACCAACTGATAGTTTGCAGTCTAACTCAAAAATAAAACGGTTTCATTTTCTTCTTACAAGTTTCGCCAGTTGATAAAGTCTCATAATGACTCCACATTCCTCCACCAGCACCATTCACGGCTCGGACTCTGACTTCATACACGGCGTGCGACTGAAGACCTGTCAAACTGGTTCTATTCTGGTTCTGTACAACCTTAAGTTGCACGTCGTCATAATCTTTTACTTTGTACTCTATGTAGTATGACGTCACATGTCCCTGAGACTGTTCACGTGTTGACCACATGACGAGGGCTGAGTGACTGTCCATGAGATGGACGCGTACGTCGCGAGGTGTGGCAGGAATCACTGCAATTGTTAAAAAGAGTACCAGACTAGCTATCACTTAGCAATCCTACTTTAAGCTATTTCGAGCCATTTAACGTAAGAGAAGAAAGCTATTTAGTGTTAAAAACTTAAGTTTTTCTTTCTTGTCGTGGATTGGTGCTGACTGAAAAATGACGTAAAGAAGATCAGGGGAAAAGACAGAGTTTTATCTCTGTGTTGAAGGATTTCTTGGGAATTAAAATATATAGAGAGACGAAGATTTTACAATGGAAAATATAACATGGAGTCATTTCAGAGTGGCAGACTACTTTCCGCATCTATTTCTTCATTGCGCAGTTCAAATAATGTGAAATTTCGTATTTCCATTAAATCAGTTATTTATATGATTAACGGATTACGCTTGTTGCTTTGAGTCTTTTTAAAACCAACCTCTTCCGCAAACGAACGAAAAAGTGAAATCAAACTCCTCGTTTTCCCAAAGTCCTGTAAAAACATCCAGTTTAGAGCAGTTCTTTTTGTTTCCGGGGCTGGTATCCGGGGATCTTTGTGCCCAGTTCGTATACGGCTCCGCCGGAGTACCGTCCGACCAATAGAATTTCATATTCATGTCACGAGACAACCCTATCCACACGCCCGAGCTGGGATTGGCTGGTTTGATCAAATGCAGAAACACGAAGTAACTCTTATCTTGTGAGTTTAACTTCGCTAAACTGCCCCTCTCTGCTTTGCAAACAGCTTCTGCGTCAGCCCAGGTTTTCTTGTCGTCATAGAGCTTAAAACAGGAGTCTCTTTTTGAGTACCATCCATTCCAGCAAGTTTGATACTCTGTGAACAGATTAAAGACAGTAGAAAATGGTGGTCAAGTAACCAACTACAACATTTTGGCTTAAGAATGGACTATTTGTGAAAATAGCTTCAGTAGAGATGTGAGCCATTCTCGTCCCCAGAGCCCGTCGTTTTCTGGTCACGTGGTAGGGAAACGAGGGTCGGTTACAAATTAAGCCGAGTGGCTCTGGGGACGAGAATGAGACGTGGGCATATTATGGAGAAACACCCATGGAGACGGCAACTGTAACAAGAACAACTAGTCACGAGGGCAGCACGTGCATCGCATTTAAGAGTTCATCTTTTCCGTAAATAATGCAGCTACAGCATGAAAGGTCATGACAAGACGTTTTATAGAAGTCGCGAACGTACAACCAATAATTAGCCTATTTCCGTATGGACTTGTACACGGTCACTCAAATTTCAGCTTAAGGAAAAAAACACATTCGACACAAATTTAGCGAGCTGGAATCACTATCGCTACGAAGTCAAGACTGTGAAACGAGGAATGGTGACATTCTCGTTACCCCCGCTGTTTTTTTACTTAAGGAGGAATTAAGAAAGGACTGACTTCAGAGACAAAAACAACGCAGCAGCAATAAAAGCCACGTAAGATAAGGCAAATAAAGTAACCATGTTTGTAACTACACTGTTTTAAAAATGTTTTGGTCTCATACTCAGTCAACAAAAAGTATAATGAGCCTCTGTATGCAAGGGCATTTTCTGGACGAAATGGAAGTCGCGACGACCGCCATTGATGAAGCGACGATCTTACAGATTAAAACGACGGTCGCATTGCCATTTCAATCAAGTTTGACAATGTTAGTCGTGCAATGGTGGCAAAGAAATCTGCCAAAAAGTGTACTGCACGTTCAGAGTTTTTCTTTACTTATTTTGTCGTTTTCGTCGTCGTTATGGTACGCTGAGCTCGCTAGAAGGGAGTTGCGTTACTACTCAAAAAACGTATTGATATGCGACGATTTCGCCTGAAAACCACGGAAAACGTGCGACAAAATCGACGTCCGCGGCACCCCTACGGCAGAGGCTCAGTAATTTGATAAGTTTAATCTTCAAGTTCACTGTCAAGATTTCAATACTGAAAAAAGAAACCAAAAAAAAAAACTAACTAACATATGAGGGAGGTTTGGTACTGTTTCTTAACTTACTTGAAATCGAATGAGCGACATAATCATTTTCTTTTCTTTTTTTTATAGCTAATCAAATTTCTTCTAAATTGCATACAAATCTCACTTACTGAACATTATAATCTCGTACACGTCGCTTGCCATTTTCCCGCCATTTCCATCCAGGCAGTCTGTAGACAGTCCGTACTTGTTGTAAGTGTCTTGCGCAGTAAGACTCGAAAGGCAATGTCCTCCATCTTTGATCGCGAAATAGACGTAGCCGAGTTTAAATGCGACGCGCGCACATTTTTGTAAAGCGTCCTCTCTTGTTTTGGGGTCTCCATCTAACAAGGGATCTTTGCCTTCTAATGAAGGAATTGCAGCGGCAGCTTTGTCGGCATAACAGCCTATATATCGTGATGGCACTGCGGGGAGATAAAGAAAAAAATCGTCTTAAGATTTTTGACAGAGTTGAAACAAGTGCATCTTAGATATTTTTGAAGGAGGATTCAGTTACCACAAGGAATCAGGAAACACTAAAACGAAATGTTAGCTTTCTTATGAGTGTATGGGTGCCGTGATTTCTGGACCATTCTCACGGCCTCTGCATACATCGGAATATTTATTTCAAGGAGACCACAAGATATTCTGATGCATTAGCAATAAATGCCAAAAAGTGATTTCTAGAGGTAGTGTTATTCCGGGATAAGGTCAATCCAACACGCCCTAAGAGGTTTACTAATGAAGAGTAAACACTGAGAATTTACCGTCAGCAAAGAACAGGGTAGTGGTCATCTCGGATGTACGAAAAAATGACAAAGTGGTTACTTTGAAGGCTTTGTTTCCTTGTTTGTTTGTTCAGTCACCTTCCAACCCAACACCTTCCCTGCTACGTGGCTACTTCCCATATTTACCCTGGGCCCTGGCCATCTACTTAGTTTTCATTTAGAGCAATTTCGAGAAAGGTTGTCCGAAAAAGTGCACGCGACAATCCGGAAAGGTATTGTGGATGGTTTCAGTTCACATACAGCCTCAGTTCAAAAGGTCTGTTACCTCTCTTTAGCTCGGGTCTCCACTGTTTCGGTTTTTAAAATTGTATCATTTTGGTCCTGATTTAGCAGCTAGATAAGAATCCAAATTGGTACTGGTGACGTTTACTCGCGACTCTAGCCTGAGGAAACAACCGACCGATTTCGCGACGTCGCCACTGGTTTCCTTGCGAAATGAAACTTGATTAACGAGCACAGTAACTCCATACTAATGAAGCGTCACTACCCAGATATGGGCATTGGTTCTGATGGAATAAAGGAAATTTTTAACCAAACAGGGGCACTTTTTCGGTGCGGAATTTCTACGCATTCTCCTTAGACATCATTTCGCGGATAAACCAGAGGTGGGGTCGCAATATGTTGGCTAGTTTCTCAGGCTAAAACAGCACACTTTTGGAGTTTAAAAGGATATGTTATTCACCTTCAACAAGACATCTATCTCTCACTGCTTTTAGCTCCTGTTCGGAAAGAGACTTGTTATAGATCTGTACGCACGCTATTCGTCCTTTATAAAAATCCGATCCCCCTGAAACAGCTCCAATTCTCACGTCACCTTGTGTAGCAAGTTCATTTTGACCAACGTTAAAACTGCTCACTTCTCGGCCGTCAATCCATAATTTCATTGTTCCAGTAGAGTTGTCGTATGATGCAGCCACGTAATTCCACGATTCAAGTCGAATTTTGTTGCTTGTGATCGAATAAGGCAGATTTAAATTCCTAGTCTCAAACAAGGCTGCTAGTACATTGGGTCTCTCAAGCCATACTCTTACCCCGTCTTTATCGTTCACCCTGTAGCTAAGCAACGGCCCTGTAGAGTCTTCAGGCCGTATCCAAGCAACGAAAGTCATAGAATATCTAGCATCCAGACCGCCATTATTTGGCAGCTCTATAAAACTTGACGATGTCCCGGAGAAAAAGTATGATCCCGCGGGTTGCCCGTAATTTCCTGGAGCAAGTTCAACGAACCTATCCTTTCCGGGGGGGTTCTGCTGTTTGCTAATGTCTGTAGTACCATATTGTTTATTTAGAGGATAAAGCGCCTTAAGTTCAGGTAAACCTGCATTGGAATGAAAAATTATGTTAATAACCAATTTACTTGCTTTGGAAAGAAGGCCTAAATGTAATCGGGCGCCACTGAAAGTAAACGCGCTACTCTATGGGGTGCTAAAGTACCTAAGTTGGCTATGTTGATTCCATCAAAGACAACCTTGAGTAAAAAAAGGTGCTGTGAGCCTAAAACCTACTTATCTCTTTACCACACTTTCTACTGCCGGTCGGTAAACAATAATTGATGAAGTCTACATAATAAAAGACTGATCGTTTATTCGTCTAAATTCGTCAAAGGTTTGCAGCCGGGCAACTCGCTAGTTTTATTGTTAGAGAGCTGGAATTACACACATGAGCTTACAAAGAGAGAGAAGGGGTCTCTCCGATCGATCTATGCGAAATAACCCCAAAATTAAACATGAGTAACAAACGTGATCAATTTGAAATTTTACTTACTTTGATTTCAAATCTTTATAGACAGAAAAAACTAATTGTAAATTCTACAGATAAAAAGTCTGTAATTGAAGGATAAAGATGACCAAAGATACCGAGGTTTTGTATCATACACGTAGATATATATTTTTTAGCAACTAATATAATTTGCAGTCTGTCTACTTTGAACTGACCTATTAATAACTCGGTCAGGTGCTATTCATGAACTTAAACCTTAAAAAATTTTAAAATTCAAATTAGCAGGTGGCTTCTTATGAAATATAGCGTCTAACATTGAAATCACCGACTCCACAAAAATTTAGTTCGCGACCTAATGTCACCTACAAAAAGTGGAAGTAACTATATATTACTCTCAAACGGATGCTTCAAAGGAAAAATTGATCGTGTGATGTTTCGATGAATCGTGGAAAATCGAATGAATAACACGCGCTCAATAAGAGTTATAAAATAAAAGAGTTCACCCCATGCAGGTACATTATAACTCTTACAATAAATATGCGGTATTATTGTATATGTCACACTGTCAAAAAGACCTAAAATTTGAGACCTTAAGCATTTTGACTGACCGTGAAATGATGCGGTCAAATATCAAGGAGATTTAAGCTTGTCTGCCAGACAAGGAAGACTAGTTTAAATGATATTTTCTTTCATTAAATTCATTTAGTGCGGATAATAATTTTAAACGCGACGCTTTTAAAGTGATAAGAGAGCTAAACTCCACTTGAGCGCTCTTCCCGGGCTACTTCCTTCAAACTCTTCAATTCGTTGATCAGTACAAGTTTCTATTCTACTTCAGTTTTAGATTGATGCAATAATTGTGTTTTTTCTTTTTCTAAAATGCGAGTATTTATTTGGCAGGTCATTGATTGTCTTGATTATAGTGACTTAAAAATTCAGATATAGAGAGCAAGTAATATCACCTCATGCCACGCTTGGTAACAAGTCTGTCGGTTTTAAAATAAATATTTCCACATTTCCAAATATCACTTGCTCTAGTATGAAAAAATAGGGGAAACTCTTAAATTTGACATCCTCCTAACTCAGAATATTTAAACCTAAGATCTGTACGGCATGCAGCCAAAATGTCTATGTTGCGTGTTCGTGAAGTGAATATTCCATTCAATATAAACCCTAATGAAGAGTCGATTACCTTTTTACACTCATCTTGTAGCTACTAACTTTTCGCTAAACTGCCCATCACCTACCTGGATTTTGTCCAAAAGAGCTTCTTGCAAAGAATGAAACAGCCGTGACAGTGATGCTTAAAATACGGTACAACTTCATAGTATTTGAACACTAGATGTCATTCAGCTCAACTGCTTTCCGTGACCAAGCGAGCGCAACATCCACTTCATCGTTGCTTCTTATTTTTTACGACGGCTTAACTGGGATCTTTGCGATGTTTTCAATAGGTTCACGGATATATCACTCACGCGATGCTCTATAACACCCCACTTTTTCCGCCGCGTGTCATCTCTAACCACTACATATGCGTTCGAGAAACAAGTGATCGATCGAGTGATTTTTTAAGCATAAAGCACGCAACAAAAACAATAAGGTCACGTTGTCCATCGGTGAACAGATATTCAAAGCACTCATGTCATTTGTTCAAGTGGAAACCATGGCAAATATCACGCGACATTGCAAATTAAATGAAATTTTTAAATATAACAGAGCATCGCAATATTGGAACAGTAACCGCCGCTCAAAGGCGCGCGCGCATGCACTAAAATCATTTCCTAGTTTCAAGATCCCCAATTTTCCCTCGCGGCCGGCCAGTCTTTTTCGGATTGGTCATTTGGTCAAGAGGTAGCTGATCGGTCGTCAAGGTTACGGTCTATCCCCAGTGCATTTGCCCGCGATATTTTGACCACGAGCGGTTATACGAAAGAATTCTCAATGAGGAGATTTTCATCATCATTATTCCAAGTTTGATGGCCTACCCTATATGCTGGATAATTAACACTGAATTATTGGATTCGGCTTTCGTGAGCTGGAGAATTACGCAGATCAAGGAGCAGGACATTAAGAGGCTGTTGTGAGCCCACGTTGCCCACAGTAATTTTCTCTTGAAACTCATAGGGCATTTTCGAGCTTCGGAAAGCCTCACTTCCAAAATGAGGCCATTTCCGAGTTTCCAAAACCCTCATTTTCAAAATGAGGCCAAGTGTAAAAGCTTTCCTATGAAAAGCGTTTCACTTACGTACACCTATATGCGTTTCACTTACGTACACCTATATGCTATACCTATATGCTGGATAATTAACACTGAATTATTGGATTCGGCTTTCGTGAGCTGGAGAATTACGCAGATCAAGGAGCAGGATATTAAGAGGCTGATGTGAGCCTACGTTGCCCACTGTAATTTTCTCTTGAAACTCATAAAGTTCCAAAATAGGGCATTTTCGAGCTTCGGAAAGCCTCACTTCCAAAATGAGGCCATTTCCGAGTTTTCAAAACCCTCATTTTCAAAATGAGGCCAAGTGTAAAAGCTTTCCTATGAAAAGCGTTTCACTTACGAACACAGTAATGTTCAAGGAGTTATAAAAACTTCTCTAGTGGGGCTAATTTAACTCCTTACAGTGGCGTTATTTATTAGTGAGTTATTTTAACTCCAAAAAGGAGTTTAAAGAACTCTTTTTCAGGAGTAAAAGTGACTCCAGATATTGAGGAGTTAAAAGAACCCCCGTAATGAAGGAGTTATCCTGAGGAGTAAAAATGACCCCAAATTCGCAGTTAAATTAGGAGTTAAAATAACCCCCCAAAAGGGGTTATCCTGTACCTAAAATTTTTACTCCATTTTTGGAGTTATAATAACTCTCTAAAAATTACAGTGTTAAGAACTAACTTTCATTCACATCTCGGATATTCCACATTTGCCTTCGTTTTCAAACCGAAGTTTGGGTCACGACGTGGGACTGAGGCCGCGAGTGCTCGCACAATCTGTGGGTGGATTCATTTGCCACATATATACGCGTATAACTGTCGTATTTACCTGTTAAAATTTTTCATTGTTTTTAATTAGCCTAACAACACTGAAAAATTCTAACAGGCAATCGCCACAGCTATACGCTTATGTTGCAAATGAATCCAGCCTGTTTTCCTTTCGCTTTCATGGCGTTAATTAGTTAATTTCAATTAGTTAATTTAATTTTCATGACGTTAATTAGTTAATTGGTCCGTTTGGCATACCGCAAAGCATAAATCATTTACACGAAAAAATGTAAGCAAATTAAAAGGCTGCTGTAAGTTTCTCATCACTGCTCATTGAACTCTGGCAAAATACTCATCGTGTCGAAAACTGAGGCCGGATATCCTATTTTTACCTCTCGATCCACAGAAAGGCAAGCTTGCAAATTGACGTTCTCCCCCTCTTTAGTCGGTATTTTTTTTTCATATCAATGCATTGGACGTAGTTTATCCTACCCTCTCTCCGGAATAAGCTTAATTGACGTAATTAACAAGCTGTGATGGTTGGTCAAAATAGGTGTAGCGTTGCCGATTGAGCATTTGGGTCGGTTTCGTCCGAGCTGAAAATTTGAGACTGCCGTTGACGGAGTCCTTTTTAATCTATTGCTTGGTCAGGTAATGAAAAGAGTTCTTGGAAGTTAGAGAGCGACGCAATGGGTTCATTCAGTTCAAAAATGCGCCAGTCTACATCTGAAAATACCGGAAATACCACGAAAATGTCCGAGTCTGAAGCGAGTCATGGCGAAGCAGCAGCAAGTGAAAGAACGACCGGTCGAACAGATGTAACGAACGGGGAAAAAGCAAAGACTGGCAACGTGCATCAAGAAAAACCAAAGGTTGTTCAGTCGTTTGGTTGGCTTGTAGAGACACCAGTTATACTTCACACAACTGCAAAAGAGATCAAAGACAAGGGCAAAAAACCTACAGAGGATGCAAAAGGTAAATCGATCAACGTCGCAACCTACAGCGATGGAAAATATCTGAAAATGGCCGAGTTGGCGTTGCCCGCAAGTTCCGCTACAAAACCGAAAAAGCAGCATTTACAGGTCGTTAACTCCTCTTCATCCAGCTCGTCAGACGGCAAACACGGAAGCGATATCATCGCAAGTGGCTGCGGGGGAAATACGCGTAAGAATCAGATAAATTCAGGCCAGAATAATAACGAAGATTTTGGAACGACCGCGCGTCCCGGAGGAACGTACCCTGTCGGTTTCGGAGTTATCGGCAAGAAAGATTCCGTTGACAAAACTTTTCAGGCAGAAAATGACATTCGCTCCAGCAAACGTCTTTCGCAAGTAAGGGGAAAGTCTCCTGTATCATTTAAGGGAAACAAGTCTACCAAGAAATAACCGTCGCAACACTGATTTACTGAGGAAATTCTACAACATTGACAAGAAAAATGATCTCAAAACAGTTTTCGAAGCAAAAAGAAAGAAGTTATAAAAATTATATTTTAGCGATCTGACCAGAAAAAGGCCAAAACCCTGTCTACTAAAAATCACCCCAAACTAAAAGAAAAAAATTACAATAATAAAAAAGATGACGAGACAGAAGTACAAGAGGAACAAAAACAAATCACATGCATGTTTGCACTTTAATTTTTTTCTTTGAAGAAAAAACTTTTCAAAACTTCAGCTGCATCAGTGTGTGTTTAACTTGTATATTTTCAATTTTTTTAAATTGAATACCTCGGTAAAAAGAGTGCGAAAATATTCAACGAAGCGAAAAATTGTGTCGCACGATTACCCTTTAGATAAGTGAACAAGATTTATTTTATTACAGTGTAACGGAGCTTATTTCAGTCGAACGAGGTAAAATTATTGAAGGATTATTTATTCCTACGGTTAAAAGGCCATGCAGATATGTTAACGGCCTTTTGTTGTTTATTTGTACTTTGATGTATATATTTTCCAGCATATCATACTTACAACATTATATCCAAACAATAAATTGGATTTAATAATCTAAGTTATCTTTTTTGTTTGAAGTAACGACACTCCTCCCTCAGCAAATGGTCTTTCAGGAATAAAAAAAAATGAATTTGTTTAGATAGGAAAACCAAAATTTTGTTTTTCAAGGCATCCTGTAAGGTAAATCATAAAAACATCCGACCTTTACCGAAAGAATTCTGAAGGCAAGTATCACTGTTGGATCACCGGACAAGAAAATGCCCAAGACTAAAATTAAAACATTATAATGAGTTTTAGTAATTTTGGTGAGACATTGCAGTGGGCTGTAAAAAGCGTTCTCGGATCTTTTCATGTCAAAAAGAATGTTTCATTTGCAGAATTGACGAAATGTAAAAATCAGCAGATTGTTTCCTTGAGAACGCAGGCTTCCTCGAACCCTTTGAGCGCTTTTACTTGGACCTTATCTGCCATTTTACACTTGAAAAGGGGAATAGCCTCAATGCCAACAAAAGTCAAAAGGAAAATATCCTTTTTTAAAAATAAGGACTTCGATTCAATGATAATGTAAAATCCTACTGTACTGACATCTGGTGATTTTTTGTTTTGTAAAACGTTGTTGAGTATCGAGAGCTGTATAATTTAGGCAATTGAGCGTGGAGAGTATTACAGTACTGAATTTGTCGCGTTTTGCTGAACTTTTCATTGGCTAAAAATCACGTGCCTCTTTCATAACCAATAAGGAATGAAACAAAAACCAATTGTTACTTGTTGCTCGCAGGTGTTTTCCCGCGCTCGCACTGCAGTCGCGACAAGTACTTGAATTCCGATTGGTTCATCGGATTGCATGTCTGCCTCTTCCGTGATTGGCCAGGGTAAACACATGTACTTTGCCTTTGTTTTGCTAGATGAAACTGAGAAATGCTTCATGGAATTTTGATGGTGATAAAATAAGACCAAAGGTGCTTTCGATTGAACGTATTCTTCAATTCACCATGCTCGAATAGACCAGAATGTACATTGTTTACCCCCTTTCCCCAAATTTTGCATACTCATTGTTTCCAATCTCTCAGTTTTGTTGTTGTTGGAAAAGCAACCGTGAAACAAGGAAAGTTATCTCATTATTCCGTTTTATTCCAACCATTTTGCTCACTAGAGTAGAATTTCAGTTTCGAATGTATTCCACTTCTTCTGGATAAGGAATAGGAGGTCAATCGAACGGATTTTCCGAATTTTTCTATGTATTCCTCCGGAATAAGCTACTGATCAAAGATCAGCCCATTATACAGTCCAATGAAACAAAATTTTAATTTTAGATACAGAAATTAATCAGGTTTTAGTTTTGAATTGACAGGTAAAAGAAAAGGAGAAAAATTTTTCTTTTTCACGTTCCCTTGCTTTTCCGCTGGGTTAAAAAATCAAGTCCGAAAGCATCGCTGTTGCCGGGCGTTTTTCTATCTCATCCAGTGAAAAATTAAGTTCAATTTGGACAAGCAATAATTATCTTGGTTACTGTAATACAAATATTCAAGAATTGAACGGAATAACGCCACCCACGCCGATTCTTTTCACATCCAAAAGCTTGAAAATTTGAGTAATAATGGACCACGAGGAATTACTCTGGGAGACGAGGCGACAATATTAAGTTAAACCGCAGTAGACAAAGGCGACCAGAACTTTGTTATTGTCATAAAAACTTATAAACCGAACAAGTCAGAACTGCATTTGAAAAGCTTGTCACTGTTGATTCTTATTTTGAGTTTGGACTTAATTGGAATTACTTATAACTTCTGGATAAGCAGTAATTAAATTTTCTTTAAAATGCAAATAAACGATTCTTAACAGCCATTCGCCGACTGCTTCGCTCTTAAGTAACATTTCCTGTTATCTAAGAAGAGTTATCACTGATATTTACAATAGAACATGAGAGGGTAAAAGCAACTCTATAAAACAGTTTTCCAAGGAGATAATTATCATTTTTAGCAATAAAGTAGATGACAAGTGAAGCAGACTCCCAAAATGTCGACGGACGCGGCAATGGCCTTCCAAATTGTTACACCGTTTATAATTGTTGCTGGAATGGCTGGAAATATCATCGTTTGCTCCTTAATTATCAAGAACAAAAAGATGAGGACTTCTTTCAACTTTCTTCTTCTAAATTTAGCTGCGTCAGACCTGCTGTGCTCGATACTAGGCGCTCTCTTCTACGCTAGTGAGATACGAAACCACTATTTCAGCGACGGGAAGTCAAATCGAGGCGAGATTGAAGGAGTTGCGTGCAAAGTTGTTACCATAAGTATTGGTTTAACTACAAACAGTTCTGTTTTCACCTTAGCTGCTATTTCAACAGACAGATTTTTTGCCATCGTTCACCCATGGAAACATAAACTAGCAACGATCAAACGAAAAACCCGCATTGTAATAGCGGGGATTTGGCTCTTGGTGCTTGTCACTAGTTTACCCCTGGCTCTTGTCATGATAAAGCAGCCAAACGAAGTTCCAAATTCACATTTTGTGGGGAACTGTATAGCACACCTCGTTAACGAAAACAGCTACAAGGCTGCCGCCTTTGTTGATCTTATAGCATGCTATATTATCCCGATGGCAATTATTTTGCGTACTTCGTTTGCTATCATTAAACATTTGTGGTGTGAAAGCTCTTGTCGCGGCTTTGCGCCCGATCAACTGGAGACTAACAGAGCGCTCTTAAAATCTCGCAAACGAATCACAAGGATCGTACTCAGCGTTATAATGGCTTTCAACATATTCTGGTTGCCGTGGGCAATTTTAGAGGGTTCGTTTTTGATCGGTGCTATTCACCATATCGATGAGAAAATGTTTGTTGTTGGATTCACTCTAGTTTTATCTAGCGCCAGTGTGAATCCAATTTTGTATTCACTTCAAAGTCCGCAATTTAGACGTGCTGTCAAGAAAATGTTTGGTTTTTGATTCGATGGCGCAACGAGATAAATTGACGCCAATATCAGATTGCCCAGATTTGAAATATGACTGTGCAAAAAACGTATTGACTTTTACCATGATTCTCCATTGAAATACACGACCAGTATAGTGTTTAATATTGATTTTGTCTATGTTATATTCAAATTCAGCTTCCATCTTATTCCAGCGGAAAAAATAGTGAAGAGTTGTCAGGCGTTACCTTCTTGTAATCCTCTTCGTATGGTTGTAAAGCGGTGACAATTTAAACGAAAGCTATTAATCAAGTCTTCGCCATGATCTTCTGTGATGTTCAATATTCTGTAAACGACAAATTTAACAGTAAATTTTATGACGGAAAGAATCACAAAGTGTCGTCTGAAGCGTCACTCGAGTCCGTATAATCACAGCAGACCAAAGATCTACCAGACGAAGTATGATTGCTTCTTAAATTATCATTTGTTGCCTGGGAAAAACCATTTTGTTCCGTTGTCTTGAGATTTCTCACGGCAGGTGAACTCGAAGAGATATTTTTCAACTCCGCGTGTCGCTTCGTAAGACATTGCGCTTCTGTGAGTTCACCTTTCTCCGTTGGAAACGACACCGCAAACTGTGACGTAACTTCCGGTGAAGGTTGCGTGCGAATGTCTATTTGAGCAGGTGTATCAGGAACGGAAGAGGCCAGTGCTCTATCCAAATTACTATCAGTCCTAATCTCATCAACTACTGTGTCCTTTACTGTGGAGGCCTGATTTGAAGGATCGTTAACTGTACCAACCCCACGGTCCCCAAGAGAAGTGTCCTTATCTAAGCACTCTTCTGAGTCCTCACTGTTTGTGGACACGTTTCTTCGGACCTTGATACCCAGTTTTACCAGATCACTGTTGCCTTTAGAGGGATTAGAAAACGAGTCGAACTTTATTTGTTTCCTTTTTCCTAACAGATGCTTTAGTTTCTCCCTTTTCTCGTCTGATTTTCCAAACATTGGTCGGCTGTTGACTTCAAACCGTCTTTTACGACGGTGCTCATCAAATCCTGCAAAACCAGAACCAACGCAATTAAAAGCTTAACAGTATTGTTATCAATGTGCTTAAGACCATGGACATTTTTATCCTGAAAGTTCACAGTTCTTTTCTTGTCCCTGTTCTATCAGCTGAGCAGCCAAAAAGGCGAATGTTAACAATGTGAGGGGCGCTCAGCGTACGCTACGTTAAAAATTATCATGTCAGCCCCCAGGAAGCCAAAACACAAAGACTGGTTTACGTTACATCACACGGTTAGCTCAGTGAGGAGAGCACCGGTCTACTCAGCGAGAGGTTTCTGATCAGGGGTTACTGGTCATTTCGCCCCCAAGTTACTTCGCCCTGGTCACTTAGCCCCCTACTTTCAAGTAATTTAGCTGCCAAAAACAAAGTCATACCCCCATACATGAGTCACTTAACCACTCCGAAAAACTCGAAAATAGGGGCTAAGTAACCAGGGCGAAATGACTTGAGGGCGAAATGACCGGTTACCGTTATTGACCAAGCTTATTCGGTCGAGATGGCTGGATACTGGCCGAGTTTTTTTTATAATGCCGATTGCGTTTATATTGACCATGAACGAACAAGCTTGATCGATGTACGGTTTATATGGCCAGCCAAAAGGAGAACGTTTTCGCGAGGGACCAACGCGGGAAATCCCGAGTAAGGAAGATGGGCCCATCTCGCCCGCTCGGGTAGCCAATCAGAACGCAGAATTCGATTCATTATGCCCACTCGCGGATTCAGCCACCGGGTCTCAAAACAGCAACTGCGGGAAGTTGATGCTTTTAAAGTTAGTTCTCCATAACAGTGCTCCAGATCTTTTTAAGAGTTATTTTATTAGGTCTTCACATGTTCATTCCACTAGGTGTAATGGTTTAGATATTTTAATTCCTTAAGTCCGTACAGAATCTGCCAAGAAAGGAACACAACTTGCCACCCCATCTGAAGGAAGCTGACTGCATAGTGATTTTTAAAACACTTCTTAATGATATTCTTTTTTAGAGTTCTTGTAAATATTTTGGAGCTTTTTAGAGTGTTAATTTACGTAGTTATATAATTCTTAGTTTTTATCCATCGTCATTGTACTTAGTTGTTACATTTTTCTGATAGTTGTTCTGTTACAGTTATTTTTTTCTTTAATTGTTAATTTTTTAGTGGCCCAGGGCACCCATTAATAACAGCTTCAGCTGACGGGTTTACCCTGGTTAAATATGTTATTATTACTATTATTTATTACCTTCTCCATGATATCTTATTTTCTTTGCCAGTTCAATATCCTCCAGTCTCTCTGGCACAAGAGCCACATCTAATGCTGCTCTTTGCTTCAGCTCACTGTCCTTCATCTCTTGAGCTTTCACTTCACGCTTAGTCTCTCGGAATTTCTTCCTTAGCAATTGATTAGCAGCATAATCATCCTTCCACACTGACTGAACGTCCTTTAGAAAATGTTTTCCAAGTTAATTATTTTTCTTGTTATTCTGAGCAAGTACTTTTTTGCGATCAAATTCTTAGAAGGGAAGCACACGAGTAATAGATCGGTGGCGGATCCAGAGGAGGGGCCCAGGGGGCCTGGGGGCTCCCCTTATTTTTAGACCAAACTGAGACCTGAACGGCCGAAAAAATATTTTTTTAAGACCAGGCCCCTCCCCTAATCTCAGGGTCTTGATGACCGCCCCCCTTGTCTGAAGGTCTGGATACACCACTGTAGATAGAGTCGAAAACTTCCCGCTTTACGGATACCTGCTTAATATGGACACCACGATCAGTACGGACGCCTTCTATAACCCCTTCACTGACCATATTATAAACAGGGTTTGACTATATCAGGCTTGGTTATTTTTCACTAACAATGAGTTTTCATGCAACTAGTTAAAAAGAACCTGTTTAGTGTTTTTTTAAAGCCACTTTTCTTATTTCACTACTTAAAAAGTTAGCCCGAGAAAACAGTTGACATTTCTTGATGACAATACATGACATCCCTCCATACTTGATGATGCACAATATTCACTTGGTTGAAGCAAATTTCTTCATGATATGGAATTTCTTCTTGTTTAATTTCTCAGATGTCATTTAGTGGGGAAACCAGAGGCAGTGTTAAAGGGAACCTCCACTATTACTACAGAATAAGTTTAAATCGAATAAAATTATGTTGATAAACAAATTTGTTCGAAATTTGTCCTTAAAAAAAGTGTATATATCAGGAAAAGTGAATTTTAAAATCGCCAATCTCTTGAATAATAATTATTCAAGATGGCCAAATCTGGGTTGCTCTATTGTTCTGACATCATCAATAACAATGGAACCATAACACGTCACAATTTGTTTAAAATTTCAAAAATAGATGTCATTTTTCTTTAAAAATATTTTAGATTGACTTGACTGTAACCTGTTATTTCCTGTGTTTTAAAGTTATCTTTTTGTTGAAGTGGAGGTTCCCTTTAATAAGAATTGCCTGTTTTCTCAAGCTTCTTAAAAGTACAAAATTGTCCAGTTGCCATAGCGTTGATGCTGTCAAAAGACAGAGTAAGGCCTGGTTGAGACACTTTTCATGTGCCGAACGTAGCTGAATAATTTCGACTTTGAAGCAACACTGGTGCGACATCTGATTCAGACGACGCACCATGTGTTGAGCCTAAGTTAAGTTCAACAAAAGTTTGACAGACTCTGTTGAACTTAATGCTTTTGCCACACCAAACTGAAACTGCAGTGCCAAATTGATTTTATTTTCAGACACCACTCTTTTGCCGTACTTACATCAGTGAGGTAGGGCACATGAGTGGAGTGAAGTCTGAACCAGGCCTTGGATGATAATGTACTGTATCTTGTAGACATTTACCTGCAGTTGGCCGAGAGTAGGCTGAACTGATTTTGATTTCTCTTGATCTTTAACTCCATGCTCCAGTTTAAACATTGGATCTGTTGCCATCTTTTTGGCATCCTCCCTGTCTGAATAATAATAAAAAAAACAAATGGGTTTGCTTATCAAAGGGCTTCCTTTTTAAGGGTGAAATTCATTTTGTTGCAGGATCGAGCTAATTTTTGGCAGACTGACTTGTTGCTATTGCCTGCTAACAACTTGCTAAATTGTAGTCACTTAAAAGGGAGTGGAACAAAGCAGATTTCACCCCATAACAGGCAGGGTTTTCATTTGAGGCCAGAGACTGGACATTTTGTCTGGTTGTTGGCAATTCTATGCCTTGACTTTGATGCCAATATTTGAGGGTTTTTTTATGATCATAATTTTTTTTACTTAGGCAGCTTACTGCCATTTCCCCCTCCTTGTTCCCCTACCAACTGTCCAATTTCATTTAAAATTTTACTTTATAAAGACAATTTGAGTGAACTCCAGCCTTCCGTGGGAAACTGATTCTTGGGATCCAGAAACTCTAGAAACAGCATTTCTGAGTGTTCTTTTTTTAAAGATTTCCCAGGGAAACATGTCCCCAGACCCCCCTAAGTAGCTCACATCTTCGGCATCCAGTGCTTTCAGATATATGTTCCCTCCTTTAAAAAACTGTCGAAAACCCTGAAAAGGTGAAGGAGGCAGGGAGGAGAGAGGTTCCACTTCTTTTCATCCCTTGTACACCTCTCACATTCTCACCTGTCTGATTTTTTGACCCCTAAAAGAGACCGCATTTATTTTTAATGATCATCCTCATTCTGTTTTAATAGTAGTTTTTAAAAAGCATTGTCACTAATCCAAGTTCTTTGAGGAACCCTAAACGAGACCTTGGCGCATCCTGTGTGTTTCTCAGACAAAATGACTTTGCATCCTTATTCTGTATATTCATTGTCCTGTGTGTTTAGATCTTATATATTCATTTGTTCCTCTCAAGGTTCAAGAGTAAGTGGAGATGCCTAAAATCCACAGTACCTGTCAACTCTACAGTTTCTGTTGCAGATGGTTCCCATCTTTCTTCTTTTCTCCTGGCACCGCTCACAATTACATAATCACAGTTCTAAGTGCAAAAAAGCATTTATAAAAATGGAGTATGCATTTCTCAATTTTCACTTGGGTCGTATACAATAAAAATCACAAGAGACACATGTACACCAACATCAATCTACCCCTAACAACATCCATACATCATCAAAAGAATTATTATTATTATTATTATTATCATAGGAAATAATTTATATGGAGATCAGTCGGGAGAATTTGAATGTGGATATTGGGGATTAAAGGACTCACCTTGGGATCTGTTTCGATTTCAAAATGATTATCACACAGATGACATTTCATCCGAAATCTATAAATGGGTGTTGTGTAGTAATTACCAACTTTCTTCTTCTCAGCATTGTAGCGTACACCTAGGGTATGAAATGCCACCATTAATAGAGAATTCTGATGGAGCAGCAAGCCAAGCAAGGACACAGGATTCTGTGGAAGCTCCAAGAGTGGGGGGGGGGGGGATGGGGACCAAAAATTGCCCCCTAGGTATCATGGATGCACTGCCTACACACATTACTTTAAATTTTGAGGTGGTTTTTCTTCAGCAAAAATTAAGTGCCTCACAGTATATATCAGAAATGTTGTCATGCAACATACACTCACCCATTCCAATATGGTTTCCACATCCCCCACACCAAATATTGTATGGCATTTCAAATCTAAAAGAGAATGGAAAACACTTTTAATAAAAATACGTATAGTATTAAAACCGTTTTGGATTCATAACTAGAACCCGCCACTGGACAAAATCCATTTAACCATGGCGGATGAAAGAATCACTAAAATATTTAATGACATAATTCATCAAGAGTTGATTTCAGAAATGTATAATGTATCATGACTGCTTTTTGTAGGAAGTAGTGGTAAACAATTTCATTTGCTAATGTATTTTCTTTATTTACTGGGTATTCTCGCCTGTCCAGGAGCATAGTGTCCACATACGCACATACCCTCATGCGTACAGCTGAAGTCTGCAAAAATTTCTCTTTTTTCCTGAAAGTATTTTTATCATTGAATTTGGATGAGTGAAATTTTTTTTTGCACTGTAAGTGTTAGTTTTATTTTCCTTTAGCTTCTTATTATTCAATAAACAGACAACGATATTGATGGTGTTGTAACAGAGTTTGCCCATTTGAACAGTAGGCATCTCGCCCTTTGCTTACGTGTAACCTCCTTGATGGCGTCTCTGTCTTACTCTTTTTTCCGTAACACTGTACATAACTACTGCATTTTACTTTGCATTTATTTACTGAAAATGTCCTGCAGAACTTCGCAGGACCAAGACCCTAAATTGTAAAATTTTCTATGGAAGCATGGCCCTAGACCTTCCCATAACATTCCTGTGCACACACCTTCAAAATCTCACACTACACCCCTGCTGACCTCAGACCATGTTGAAAACTATTTCTTTGGACCTATCTATAAAGAGTAAAACGGCATATATACCTAATGATAAGGATCCCTTGGCCAAGCTTTCTTGCTCTCTCACGCAGTGGATGCTGTCCATGGTATCTGTCAAGTGAACCCTGTCCAAAGTTTTATCAAATAGTCAAGATGAACCCAGGACCTTATTAATGAAGAAAACAGAGGATGATAATTTGACTCAAAAATGATGATGTTAATATTGATCTTATTATTTGATGATGATTTGATAGGTGATGGTGATGGACCTGATGAATGAAGATGATGATGGCTGAGGATGATGGTGATGGTGATGGTGATGGTGATGACTGATCATGGTGATAAATGATGATGATGGTGATTATGGTATGGTGAATGATGGTTGGTGATGGTGATGATGATGATGATGATGATGATGATGATGATGGTGATGATGATGATGATGATGATGATAATGATGGTCTTGATGACGACGACGATGGATTATTTGAGTTTTGATACAAAACCAAAATTTGAGTTTGAACCAAACCAAAAGGTGATGAACCATAAACGAGACAAACGAATCTTTTGTTTAAACAGGTCGTTGTCGAACAAGGTATATACATTAGCAGGATAAAGGCCCTAGAAGTTATATTTGAGTTAAAAAACTATCACGCATTAACGCATCGAGTTGATCACGACGCGAAATGAATTTCAACCGACCTGCTCCGGAGTCCAGTCCGGTGGGTAGTATTTATTAACGGCCTTTCTTTCACCCTAAAAAAAAAACAAGAACACAGCGTTATTTAAGAACGTTTAAAGCATGGTTTGATAACGAAAGTGGTGAATTAATTGAACAAATTTTGTCAAAACTTACCATTTTGATGCTAAACTAAACTTCGACGATTTCTAGACGATGTAAACAAGGCTCAGAACTGACAGTCAGCGGTCAATGCAGAAAACAAAGAGATGGTAGTGTAGTTGAATTGAATTGTCTTTCAAAGGGGAAATCTCAAGTAAATTTCATTTTTAGGCAATTTTCTCCTTGAATTGAAAAAAAAACTTTGGAGATCAAACGGTTAGTTTTCTTTCCGTTGGAAATGATTGGCAATACCTCACAAGTTTTGTGTAAAGTTTTTCACAATGACTGATATATGAAATCCACATCTTCGAGGCCATCTACGCGTGGTTGATAGCGAGGCTCCGGATGTTTTCGAAATATGGCGGTAATTGTCAAAGTAGTTTTAACTTTGCCGACAAATCCCTTCGTTGAGGACGCCTTTCTTCCTTTACCAAACTTGTGATGGCCTTCGACAACAAAAGAGTCATTTGGATTGCTGCTGGTGTGTTGTCTGGACTCGGTACAGCTTTCTGTGTCACGGAACTACGAAAATTTATTAGGGAGAAATGTACACGAAAACCACTTTCCAAAATGGAGGACAGCATTCGCTTAGAAGATCTGGAAGTTCTTGCTCGATCGCCGAACTATTCACTGCGGAAAAGCGCCGAGCAAGTGGTGTTGGACAGGGCGATGAAGGATCACAATCTTGATTTTATCATCACTGCTTGTTACAGCAGCGACGAAATCCAGGTTTTGAAAGCGGTTGTTGCTTTGGCAGTTTTAGTGAAAAATTCCGAACGCGTTGCAAGAGACAAGTTAATTGAACATGGTATATTGGAATCGCTTTCCCATGCTCTTGTTCATTCCGTTGAGGTGGGATTTAAGAAACTCGTTGATATCGGAGGCTACGATTTTCGTTTGCAGCGGTGTGCGTCGGAATCGTTATTTCACCTTGTTTATGATGAAGATGCGACTAAAATTCGTTTAACGAAATCGAACTCATCTATTATCGGAACTCTTCTAGAACTAGTTTCTGAGACAAGGAATAAGGAGGTAATGAGATGGAGTTTATTCACAGTGCATCAACTAGCCGCTTGTGAGACTCTGCGGCCGGTTGTTCTAGAACATGGGGTGATACCGGTTGTGTCGCAAACGCTGGTGAAAAATCAAGGAGATTTTGTGTTGATGAGAACTTGCTTGCACACAATGGTGATGTTTGTAAATAATAACACGGAGGAGGAAGTTGAACATCTGAAGGAAATGGCCAAATATGACATATTCAGGCCAGCTGTTGTCTCTCTTAGATCTGGTGAGTACGGATGAAGTGCCTGAGGTGGGGACCCTGTGCTCATTTTGCGGGTGAAATTGAGTGTGCCTCTACATATATAGTTTTCATTCACAACAGTTTCTCATACACGTGAATTGGTCAGCACCATAGTCAGCCTCTGACACTCTGTAACTCTAGCCTGATTCTCAGATGCTCCACACATGTCATGCACCATCAAGAGAGAGAGAGAGTGCATGGCCATGAGCATTTAAGAATCAGGCTACTGTAACCCTAACTCTATAGTAGTGTACTGTTTCAAATTTCACCATGATTAGTCGTACTAGCTCAGGTATGTCAATCGTAAGTGCATCTTCTGGATTTAAATTCTTAGTGAACACACCCATGCTTACATGTTTAGAAAGATGAAGAAAAATTTGTTGTCATGTCTTTACATGTACACCCACCATGAATTTTGAAAATGGAAAATTCCACATCACCATCATGTAGAGAATAGCAAAGAAATGTACTAAAAAGAAATTGTCTTTCACAACCTGTCCACCTTTCTTGAACCGTATTTACTGAGGCACAAAATTAAACACATCAAATTGAATACAAATTTTACTCCAGAATGGGGTAAACCATCTGGATTTAAATGGCAGTTCCCAAGAGGAAAATTAAACAATAAATAAAATTGATGTCATAAACCATTATTTAAATGGCGGGTCCCAGTTGGCTTGCTAGCTCAATATTATTGATTAGACTATTGCGCTAGTATCGCAGAGATCAGGATTTCAATCCCTGCAAGCCTGAATTTTTAGGCTTTCTTTTCACAACTGGATAAGTTGTATAATTATTTGACTGTGACGATCTTCTCTGCCTTAATTTATTTTTTCATCTCACCCTTCAAATATATGAAATTCATATATTCATCATTTCATAATGAGGTTGTGTTTGTCTATGCAGATGATAGTGACCTTGTTTACTGGGCAGCTGGATTACTGCATCAGTTTGCCATTCAGGATCTCCACAAGACACAAATATGTGCCATACCAAACATTATCAAATCACTTCAAAATGTGCTGTGTTCAAGTGAAGCTATCCTACAGAGGTTGATCCTTCGTGTTGTCAGTTTCCTCTGTGTTGGAAATCAGTCATTTCGTAGTAGCGTTCTTCATTGTTCATCACTCGTGGCTCGACTGCCGATTTGTCTTGCTTCTGGTGACAGTGACATTGTGCACTGGGCAGTGGTCTTACTTCATGATCTTCTGCTTTCGGAAGGTTTGTTTAATGCTCTCCTAGAATTTTAAGATATTTCTAGAACTGTAGCCTGCGAATGCAGATGCATTTCTGGTTGTTGCTCCTCTCCACCCAGGTGGAGAGAAGAGAAGACCAAAGATATGGCTGCGTTTGCATTGTACTAGAACTGTGCAATACTGTGTAACTGACTATGAACTTGTCTGTGAAATAAGGTTCTACTTTGCTTTAAATAATTCTGTTTTATTACCATGAAATGAGAATAATGCTTATTGCACTGGTTCTCATTGTATCCCATAGTGACTTTAATTAGGACTGATCACAGATACATGTAGAATGAATAGGAAAGTTTTCTCTAATTAATTCCCACACTTAGATTTTTTTTTTTATGTAATACTAAGTATTAATGTAATAAAACCTCACCTATCTACCATCTCTCTGGTAACTCTATAATGACTCTTTTTACCCTAGGATCTCCAAATGCAAACCGTGCAGCAGCTCTTAGAGTTCTTTCTGTAGCTAGTGATATTATAAAGGCCCTTGTACCACTGGCATCTAGAAAAGATAACATCTTGATTCGTTTGGTAGCAGAACTACTGGGTCTGTTTTGTACTGTTGGTAAGTCAATACCGTGTTTCCTTAAATAATAGCTGGGGGCGATTATTATTATTTTTGCACAAAAAGGGGGCGATTATTTGAGGGGAGGTGATCAATTCAGATATTGCTCACTGGAAGTCGTGCCCTAAATCTTTTTGAATCGTTTTACTATGTAGTGTCCTAAATCTTTTTAAATCTTTTTACTATGTAGTGAGAAGGGTTGCCGGGCAATCATTTGAGGGAGGCGATTATCGATTATTTTAAATATTTCTGTCTAAGTAAGGGGGGGGGGGAAGCAATAAATATTTGAGGGAGGCAATTAGTCGAGGAGATATGGTACTTTTACCTGCATTAACAACTAAATACATAAAATGATTAGCATTGATTTATTGAAAGCATATCCACAGAGTGGTTGCTTTATCTGCCATTGGAAATGTTGGTTTCTTGGGGGGAAGAGGGGAAAACTGAGACAGGCCTCTTGAAGCAAGAGTTACACCTGACTACAAACTCAATCCAAGTATGGCATTGCTTCTGGGATTCAAACCCAGGCAACATTACGAATTGCTAATGCATTGTCTTGCTTCCCTGTACACTGTATTTGCTCCCCAAGCATAAGGGCCAGTATGATTTCCTAGTGCTTCATCAAAATTATAATCCTTGAAATTTTTGTATGAAAAAATTGTCTTTAAGAAGATAAATAACATGTCCTTTTTGTTATGGTATCTCAGAAAGTTTACAAAGCCAAGTTCTCGAAGATGGATGTTTAAAGGCAATACTGACATATTCTGTATCAAGTGACTCTGAACTTCAATTTTGGGCCTCTGCTCTTCTGTTAAACATGGCCATGACATCTGATGAGGTGAAAAGAGAGATAATCCGGCTGGGTGGCCTGAAGCCTCTCATGGAGTTAGCGATTGGCGACAGTGATCATCCACAATGTGCTACACATGCTGCTAAAACACTTGTCATGCTTGGTTTTCTTGGTTAGTGACTAGTGTGTAAACATTGTAGTTTCAAAAAAGCTTTGACACATGTATTTTGTTCTGTGTGAAGTGTTAAAAACCAACAGTACAGTACAAGTAAATTGCACTTGAAACGTGATTCTCCCCAAAATATATTAAGTATTGACAATCATCAATTGATTCTTGATTTATTGATTTGTGAATGTAAATCATCATTATCACCATCGCCATTATTATCATTTTGGCTGTAGGAATGGCCTCCTTTTTCTTCTAGGCCACCCATTGTTTTCCTTCACGTAGCTTATAAAGGTACTATAACTCAGTGCATGTGTTCCAACTGTTCCCTTTATTTATGATAACATTGAAGGTGATTATTTATCTTATGTAAGAGGGCAGGTTGCTTAATAGGTTTTTTAAGTGATATAATTATTTGCACTGTGAACAATAATATTATTGTACAGCAATTAAAAAAACCATATAAATTATATGTTCTAGACACAAAGGTCCCAGTGGCCATCAGGTCATTTGGTTACAAGACTGGTGACGAGGCAAGCATTTCTATCGATGGAAAGGAATTTTGTCCCAACAAACCAGGCGTCAATGTGGTAGTAATGGATCTAATGACATACCAAGCAACTGAGGTGTCTTCATTTGACACTGGACATGACAAAGAAGCCAGTGAACAACTTGTTGAGTTTATTGACATGGTCCCTGTTGGGGCTCTGGTTTTTATAGCTGTCAGAGGAGAGGCAAACTACTACTTGACAGGTCACTAATGACTATGCATTTTTCTGTTGTCACATACTAAAAAATTATTTATACCTAGTGTCACACTGTAAGAACCTAACCCAGTTATTAAAAATAGTCAAATACATGAAAGTGAGAACTTTAAGGTTCAAATTATTATATATTTTTTATTTCTTTTATGAAAAGAATTTCTTTAAACTTCTTAAGACTGCTCGACCAGTGCTCCTCCATCCTTGCTGCCTACCACATACTTCTCTCCACCCCTACAAAGTCATGTACTTCCATCTCCCCCAAATCCCTACTTACCCCTAGTCCCCACTTACCACTGCTGACCATCCCACACTACTCTCCACCCCTGCTTGCTTCCTACTCATTACTACTACTCACAATACCCTCTCCATCTCCCCCTACCCCCCACTTCTCCCCACCCTACCTTATCCAACCACCTCTAGCCCCTATTCCACCCTTCTTCCCACCCTCCCCACTCACCCCTACTTATCCATAGTTCATGCCCACCCCTACCCCTCATAGCTGTATCCCTACATTTCATGCCAGGGTTCTTACAGGTCATGGAAAACCTGGAAAGTCATGAAATTTAAGACTTTTATTTTCCAGGCCTGGAAGGTCATTGAAGATGTTCTGGAAAGTCATGGAAAATAAATAATCCAATAGATTAAGACAGATGTCAAAAGAAATAATGCAAGATGTTGGACAAGTTATTAAACCAGATTTTGTGTCACCAGAACTTTTGTTTTGTCTCTTTCTATCCTAGAACAGGTAAAGTTTTGAAGATATTTGAAAGTGAAAGTTAAACCTAAGGTCACGAAAAACTTGAAAAGGTCATGGAAAGTCATGGAATTTGAATTTGAAGTTAAAAAGACTGCGAACCCTCTCATACTCTCCACTCACTATTAAATTTTTCTTCCACTCACACCTTCATGTATTGCCGATTCCTTTCACCCATAAACCCCACCCACCCCTTCTCCCTTTACTATGCTCTCCACTCACTGTTTCTTCCACTTTCACTCATTCCGCATCCTCCCTACTGACCCAACCCAACACACTCCTATCATTTTTACTCTACCTTTCTCTTTCTCTTTCATCCACGGCAGACAAGGCCAAGTTGAGTCTCAAAGATGTTGGACTTCAAGACTGTGATTTCAAAACTGGTGAATTGTGGGGCTTTGCTGGTTACAAGAAGAGAGATGAAGGAGTAGCAGTTGGTTTTCTGCAGGGATTCGACATAGTGGAGTTAGACACTGAACTTAATCTAGGTTGGAGTTTTAAAACTCGTTGTCAGCTATTGAAAATAATATTATGTTATATTAGGTTAACTCAGTTGGGGTAGCCAGCACTCATCTGCAGAACATGTGCAGGAGGTTTTCTGTACATGTTATTTCAATGCAGTCAATGGGATACTTACCCATCAGTGAGCTTCAAAAGTTAGTTGCCTAGCAAGAAAATCTACCTGTCCCAGATGACCGGAGAGGACATTTTTCGAGCCCTGTTTTCTATTTTTTGTTGGCTGTAATGCAACTTCTTTGCAGTTACTAAGCTTAACAATGTATTTTAATTGATAAATAAAATAATATCAAAAGTGATAAATTGAATTCTTGATCGTTTGTTACTCCTGCAGGTTATTATGCAAATGAACAAGTACAAGGTTATATTTTGTTGCCGCTGATCGACCTGTTGATGAGTACACCTGCATCACTTACCATCAGTAAGGTCTCTGAACTGGAATTGCTCACCGTGCTAGCAAGACATGATCATCACAAGGAGGGTGGGTGCTTAGAGTGATCAACATCAATTTTCTCCTCCCAATATAAATACATTATCAAAAGAAAAGGTTATGAGATGTAATAAAATGATCACCTTGGGAAAATGCTTTGATCTTTCATCAAATTCTCCTAACTGATTCTTAAAGGGAATGTATGGAGATTAATTTAGAGAATTTGTAAAAGGGTTAAGGGGTTACCATTAGTTTCTAGAAAAACTGTAGTGGTAGATTTGTGGGGAAGTGAAACACAAAGATTTGGGCACTGCAGAGAGATTGAGAAGCTGACATCTTCAGTCCTAATCCTTTGCCAGAGCAAATCAGGTTGCCAAGTACAGTATGAGCAAAATGAGTTAACATTCAAGGCATTTGATTTTCATGTCTCTACAAAGACATAGCAAAAAACTCTAGGTGACTGCCAGTGTTATTACTTTACTGTTGCGTGTTACAAAAGAGATGCTGTATCACATTTAGGGGCTGGAGGGTGGAAGACCCAAGAACCAGGAAGATCCTATGAGGTGGAACAACTTTTTGTAGGATTTACATGCAGAAATTTCAGTCCATGTAGTTAATATCAAGTAGAGAAGTTGTTAAAGATCGCACGTGACGATAACAAACATGAATTAATACCAACTTTTCAGTAGCAGCAGGAAGTTCTTTACAACTGGTAGTGCCAAACGAAATTGTTGACCCATATTGCTGTGATTACCTACCAAATATCCTGCTGCCATTTTTGTCAAGTTTGTTCCTTGTCCTAGGATCTTCCTCGCAAAAGCAGTTTACATGGTGCTAGAAGGATCTTCTTCGTGCTAGGATCTTCCTACCTCTTAGTGGGGAAGATCCTAGCGCTAGGGACAAGTACATCCCTAGATTGCATGTAAACTAAATATAGAGAACAAATGGCACCAGGATGATATGCCTTCTAGGAAGTCTGGTGCCTGGTGCTTTTAGAAAGATTCACATTCAAGGGACAAAAAATGAACTGTTTCTTTCAAAACCAGCCATCAAGTGTCCAAAGTAACCTGTTGAATTTTTTTGAATGCTTTGTTTTAGTAATGGTCAGCTTTGACGGTTTTATGAATTACATAGTGGAATTGATCGACAATATGTCAAGTAAGACTGCTGACCACCTGAGAGCAAATCCACTAGTGATAGCACACTGCATTGGTGCTATGAAGATCATTACTGCTATAAGCATTGCAAAGGACAGTCATGTAAGTATGATTTCAAGGGCTCTGTTTGCACCACATAAGGGAATCCAAGACAGTCTTGGATTCTGGATTCCACACTGTGGATTCTGGATTCCAGGTATTGGATTCTGGATTCCAATCGTTAGTGGGATTCCAGATTCCAATCATTAGTGGCATTCCGGATTCCTTGTGCTGTATTCCAGATTCCAAAGCCCAGGATTCGGAATTCCACAGCAAACATTTGCAGGATTTTGGATTCCAAAAGCAAAAATTTGCCAGATTCCAGAATCCCTTAACACTATACTTTAAGAAGAATTGAAAGGAGTGTAGTTCTATCCAAGGTGCCCAGCACGTGGTTTTTATTATAAAACTAAGATTTCCTTGTCTCTTAAGAGCAGAACTAAGGTACCACTGGCCACTGGGCAGTGCTAGAGCACAACCCTGGATTTGTATTGAGGCCCTCAACGGGGGGGGGGGGGGTACTTATGTCCCTAGTCTGAATTTCAAGTATGGTAATTTATCGATGGAGCAATGACCTGTACTCTTGACCTGTGAAATGTGACCTGTACTTTAGACCCGGCCGAACTAGCGTTTGCATCAAACATCCTCTCTTGTGCATATTTTAATTCCAGGAGAAGTTTGCAGAACACAAAGTACTTGATGCAATTTTAGCCCTTCTTTCTCTAATGAATGCAATCCAGCTAGAGAAACTGACTCAGCATATGAATGCCAACACAACTGGTCACATGCAACAAACAGTTGAATTGGAATCAGAAGCCGATCAGGGACTTCATCTCACTGAGGTGATGGCTGCCTCTTCAGAAAACGTTTCCACGATGGCTGAGGCAGGTTAGTGAATTCTTGTTGCGTTGTTAAGTCTTAAATGTACCGTAATATTTCGAGGAAGCTTTCGGAAACTTCAGATCATGTTCGGAAACGTTTGGGTCTGAAGTGTCAACTTCGCACATCTTCGGAAGTGTTCGGATTAACGCTCGAATTACCATGGATTGATCTCTCAAATATATTGTAAAACCTGCTTTCAAAAAGTGCATTTTATGGATCAAATTTACTTTTCTCTTGTCCGGAAAGACTGTAGTATTGCAGCAGGTTATCGTTAATCAACTGGCAGAAATGGCTTGTGATATTAAGCCCACATAGGTAAGACATCTCTCAGGAAATATCTCATATCAAAAACTGCAAAATTGCCAGGTGGCAAGAGTACTTATGACCCATACATTTTTTGTAAATACTAAAGTTTTAGTTCTTTAACTTGTGGGCTCAAATTTTCAGAGTTATCTACAGTGACAGTCATTACGTTATGTCTTTCCAGTATTCGTGGAATTAAGTTTTATAATGCTTGGTTAAAAAATTGACCTATCCTTGCATTTAATGCATTGCCCATCCCGACATATAAAAAATCCATGATTAATGCATTTTATTGGGATTTGCTTCACTTACAGTAAAACTAACGGCAAGTGGCTTAAGAACGCCGGTTCATGGTGATTCCTCGGAGCCATCTTCTCCGTTACAAACCACTCAACTTAAATGCACTTTAAAGAAGAAATCTAACGCAAAGACCCTGCAGTCAGAATCGGTCTCGGGAGAGGCGATAGTTCATGATGATTTAGATGAGGCGTTTTCCAACCTGACAGGATTGAGCGTAATAACGCTGTACAACTGTATTGACTTGATCACAAGTTCAGAAGAATCCCGGGAGCATTTCTTCAAAGCTGGTGCGATGCAGATTCTGTGGTGTCGCCTGCTGACTGCAGGCCCGTCAACTGTGCAGCAAATTGGCCTCGCCACTGAGATGTTATTAAACACCTGTTGTTGTATGACCATGTTGGAGAAGTATTACACTGGTATGTGTTGCCACTGAGGAGGCTATGAGCTTACTTAGGTGTATAAAGGACAGGAAATTAAAGTAGTTTTACTGGCAAAAAGGCAACATTTTGAATATTACTTGATGAAAAGTTGTTAACATCTTTGACAAAGACAACGTTTCGACGCTAAGTTGGCGTCATTTTAAGTCAAGTCGAATGAAAGAACAGTACGTACGAGATTGCGCTAGGTATAGGAAAAGAAATAAGAATGTTGTGTGTATGATAAAACGTGTTGAGTGAATAGATTTATAGCAGATACAGTCAACTGCTGACTAAAACGTTTCGTGCTCTACGCGCTTGTGGTAACGTGCATGGTCAATCAAGTCTTGCAAGGCGATTATTGCCATCAGCAGTAATAAAACCAAGCAAATGAAGTAGTCAAGACTCGAAACAAAAAAGTAGGCGTTGTCAACGGCAGGAAAACGCGCGTGAGCAAGCCAAGATTGGCTTCAGTTTCAGTTTTAATTATTTGAAAATATTGTATAGTGGATAGTTTAGCCAGTCAGGAAAAAATTTGAACTAGCAGCCATTTTTTTGTCTCTTGATTTGCATTTTTGGCCTTAACTGTTACCGGTGGACGCAGTTTAAACCCTAATATCAAAATTTAGATTCTGATTTACTGTCGCTATACTTTTTCAACAGAAGTAGTGAAGAGAATTTTTTGAAATATCAATTAGACTCATCTTCCCTCATCATGTACTCAATTCTCATGACCACTCTGTTTTCTAAAGCATTGATATAATAAGGAGAAATTTCATGCTGATCACTCTTAGGGCTTAAAGGTTCACGGACACTAGCTCACACAACTTGTCATTGTTGCCTTCTCATATCAGACATTGCAGTGGAGTTAGACGAACACACCAAGACCCCTGCGCTGGTTTTAAGCACCGATCGCCTTGAAGCCTCCAATCCAAACTGGACATTTGAAAGCGTACATGCCACCCTGTGCATCGGGCGGGGTATGTGTGCAATATCCCCGTATCCCGCGGGATGGTATTACGAGGTCACTCTCAAGTCTACTGGCATACTACAGATAGGTACGATAATACTGCGCTTAGCTTCGACGACAAGTGTTTGCTTTGGTAGCATCTGCTTGTTGTGTTCCCCGACATGTTAGCAGTTATCAATATTCCTGCTTAACGTCAATTGTTTACGCTTCAACTGCTCACGTGCGCTTGGAGGAAGTCTAGAATTAGCTATAACTAGTTGTAGCAACCGCGCATTAACCAAAACAGTTTAGACGGTATTCAATTGGGAACCTTAACCAAACCGGTTTATTCGGAAAGGCTTATCTGATAGATTATGGTTTGTTTATAGTGGAAAGTGCGCTTAGTGTATCCTACTAGTTTACAGGTACTCCACTCAAATACTTAGAAACAAATAATTCAAATAGAACATAACAGGATTAAAACCCCATCTGGCAGGAGGCAACCAGTTGGTTATTTACAGGCGTGGCCGAGGATTTGAACTCAGAACGACCCGAGAGCAAATCCAGCAAGTGGTCAAAGCAGGACTCGAACCTGGTACCGCCGGATTGCGAGTCCGACTCGCTGACCACTCGGCTATAGACTGCAAAACAGTCGGGTTTTTTTTTTCTCAAAATCGGTTTAGTGTAGCGAAGCGCGAAGTGCGCTTGCTTCACACGTCTGACTGTTCGCGCGCACTTGAATACGCAAAAATAGAGACTGTTTTGCAATCCAACTGGGCCACGCTGCTTCTCTTAGTTAAAACATTGAAAAGAGGGACCATAAGGAGATTCTCAACTTATTTGTCAGAGATACTGCTGTACTGTGAAAGGTTTGAACCCAGGAGTCATTTCCCCACACGTCGAACTGTTCGCGCGCACTTGAATACGCAAAAATAGAGACTGTTTTGCTTAACTGTTAAAAAAACAGACGAAATAACATCGGACATAATTGACCAATAACCAGGTATAATACCATCAACTGACGCGTCAAAGATGACTACCGCACAGGTTGTCGAAACGTCAGTCACTGATAACTGTCCTATTCAGGACTACGTTCAACGATTCTTTCTGTTGTGTTAACGATTCTTTCGTCTGTTTACTTACTAAGGCTGGCAAACTGAAGAGTGTCGTTATGGTCCAGAGAGAGGTGTTGGTGTCGGCGACGATAAAAACTCGTGTGCGTTCGACGGCGCAAGATGCAAGGTGTGGAGCGGCCCCCCAAGCGAACAAATCAACAATGATTATGGAAAAGAATGGTCTTATGGAGATGTACTGAGCTGCTTGTTCTCCTGGAATGGAGAAGTGTCCTTCTGGTTGAACGGGGTAGATATGGGTGTGGCATTTAGGGGGCTAAACCCTTCGGTAAATTGGTACCCTGCGGCATCCGTTGCCATGGATCAGAACTGCAGTTTTAATTTTGGTGGTAGACCTTTCAGGTAGAGTTTTTTTGCGTACAATGCAAATATTAAAAAGATCTTTTTCATCCCTAAAGTGCCAATTTAGTACTGCAGGCCAAAGTCTGATTCAACCTCTCCTGGAGCCATTTGAACACAATCTAAGCCAAAACAGCCCCATCAAAAGTCTATTCCAACCTACGCTGGGGCCCGTTTCAGCTCTTGGGTGCAACTCAGCCCTAGATAATTAGACTGTATTGGCCCTGATCTTGAAAATAAAGAATAAAGAATGAAAATAAAGAAAGGAAAGTGGAAAAAGGCGGAAAAACCCAGCATTTGTTTGTTTTCCTTTCATCTTCTGATTTGCGTGGGATAGTCTACTGGAATAGTCCAAACGTTGAAACTGTGTTAATTTAGAGGGGGAGCCGCGTAGCACTCAGTCCAGTCCAGTCCAGTATATTTCTCCAATTCAGCAATCCTGTTGCCAAGGGGTTACATTGTTGCAGATAAAGTGAAATTTAACGGGAATTGTGTTGTATTGTGAATGTTGACGAGTGAAAAACTCTGCAAGTTCTAGAAAGGAAAACGAGAGAAATCAGGAAACAAAGAAAATGGTATTGATCCCGGCAAAGATTGCGCTAACGACCTTTCGATTATATCTACCCGCACTTAAAAGTTAAGTCTATTTCTTCCTGTGAATTTGTGTTAAAACAGGTATGAAATGCCAGAAGGCTATATTGCTGTTAGTCACGTGGTCAGCAGCCTGGTCAAGAAAATTCCTGTCCGTCTTTCATCTTGTTGGACACCGGTCAGCGGCAGTTTCGAAAGCATAGTAGAGGAAGACGAAGAACCGAATGATGAGGATCTGGGAACTACAGAGCCAGCAAAGATTACCAAGATTGGTAATGTGTTCACCGTTTTTGTCATTTGCATAAAACAAACACAGGCAGACCTATTAGAGCTTGGTGTTTCAGCGGTAAACACGTAACAGGCCCCTGCTGTGTGGTTTTTATTGGCTCTTGATGTACCTTCAGCACAGACAGCCCAGGTTCACGACAAGAAAGTTTCAAAGTGAGCCACAACTGATGATATTGTCGCCCACTTTGCGCCACTCAGTTATCGCAACAGTTAGTCATTTACCGTACAAACGGATCCAACTGTTAGTTTGACCAACCATTTTTTGTTTCTTTGTTACACTATCAATCGCCTGAGAAGTGATTTTTTCATAAATAAAGTGTGAATGGATTGCACTTTCAGGCGTGTAGACTGCTTGTCGAACTCATCTCTGATTGACAAACACGGCTGCGAAATTAAGCGTACTGTTGTTAAATCGTTTTTTCCTTACAATTTTGCGATACGTTAATCTTACGTCTTCTTTTATCGAGGATATATGTAGCGTTGCGTTTTTGCTACAAGATATAAACACGTCAAAGAAACGAGGACGACGAAAAGTGAGGTCCAAGTGCAGAACAATACAAAAATCGTCGCTCTTTTTCTTGTAGGTAAAGGAGAAGCGAGGCTTCCTCGGGAAAGAACGGATTCTGGCGCGTTGGCTGACGAGGAAAAATCTTCGAAAGTTTCCTTAGAAGTGGACATGCCTCAATCAGAAGTGTTTTCCAACACCCATCACTCGTCCGATATCCATGACACTTCCGGTGCGCCTCACACCTCCGCTGCCTTCGACTCATCGCTCGTTCTTTCACCCGAGCCTAACAACCACTCTCTTACCTTTGTCACGCCATCATCCAGTATTTTCACAACACCTCGCGGCTCTCCGACAAGAGCATCGCCGTCTTCAGTGCTCTTTCCCTCGAGCAAGAATGACCAGACACCGAATGAAGCCGAGCAGAGTGGGGACGAGTCAGGGCTTGAAGAAAAGCCTCCATATGAGGAGAAGCACGTGACAAGCACACCATATCTGGGTGTTGGCTCTTTGAGGGACTCCATTTGTAAGCGCTTTGCTACTGCGTCGCGACTGGATTCCCTGAGAGAAATTTCGTGCGAAGAGTCATTTATTGACGACGCAGGTAGGACTTTAAATTGTCCATAAAAGCGTTTTATGCTCTTTCATGAAAGGTTAAGTTATCACGAGGACTTTAATCGCAGATTAAAGACCGAGAAGAAGTTTAAAATACGACGCTTAGGGGATTTTATCAACGATCTTTGAGGTTTTTGTTATCGTATTGAAACACTCTATCTCGTGTTTAATGAAACTTGTGGAAAAGAAAATAAGGATGCAAACGAAGAATTTTTACATCACACATCCACGATATCCACAAAATTACTATTTCCTTTCAACTGTTAACTCCGCAATTTGTTCTGTTTCTAATTCCAGAGCCAATAATTCCTTTCCTGTACTTTGAAGCTGAACTGAAACACGCTCCTTGTCGAGTGAAACAAATTGGCATCATCAACGTGGAAACAAGAGAGAAACTCTATTGTGACGTACATGACGGACATCTTACTCTGCCCAACTCGTCCAGTCCTACCTCATACGAGCAGGAGATCTTTAGGGTCCCGGATGTTGTGGGTTGTGGTGTTGTCATGTCAACCGGACAAGTCATGTTCACACTAGATGGAGTGCCTACAAGACAATTATACGAATTCCCCACCAGTAAACCTTCATCTCTGGCGATTGACAACTTCTTCCCGTACATATCGTGCACGCGAATCCGCTGCAATTATGGTCAGCAGTCGTTCCTGTTCGAGGATGCGAACAGAAAAAAATCATCGCATACCTGTGCTTCTTTGCTCCATATTATTTACGAGTCACGTGACTTTCCCGTGAACTCCCCCTCAGATATGCCTCTGAAAGCTTAATCGTTAGTCATGGCATTTTTTAAAGTGACACTCGAAATGCCAGTTGCCCTTTCCTACGCGAGTATTTAGGGAAGTTTTCTACACGAGAGACTGACGCCCCGTGATTGACGTTCTAACGTGCAGTTCAGAGCTATTTGTTACGCTGTTCAGGAAGGATGGGCCTAAGTGTGAGTGAATTTATTAAAATATAACTGTTCAAATTTGGTTTGGTCTGTGTGTTGTTGTGCACAAGGGCTAAGGTAACCCTTACCGGCTAATCAATTCAGTAATTAAAAATAAAATACGTGATAGTTTTGAGCATTCAACATTCGATCATATTCATTGTAATGTAAGGTAGTCTACCCGGATGTCCCTAGAGCGAGATCTGTTGCAAGATTACGTGTTGCTTACTACGGACACCATGGCATGTCCCCTTTGTGTCCGTTTTACTGGGGTTCCACTGCATATTGCACCCTTGTCTTTCTCTCCCCCTCAGAAAGCCTAGTCTCTTGGCGAAATATCTATTTTGTGTCCTCCGTAATCTACGAACGCATTCAACTTCTCGTTTTTGAATGATTGGTAATAATTCGCCTTTTAATACTGAAAAGGTGATTTTTTTTTTCTTTTTTACTCGAACGACAAAAGGCAGATAATTAAGACTACTAGTACAGTAGAATCGCTATTTGCGACCACCTACATATCCAAAACACCAAAATTTTCATAGTGATAGCCCAAGCCTCCTCCAGCGACTTCACTGTCCTTTTTTAGAGAACGAGTGGGAGAATGGGGAGAGAACAGGCGGCGACCGTGATGCAACTCAAGATGTTGCTCAAGATGCAACTCTGCAACTCCTCATTTTTTCCCCTTTTCTCGTTCTCAGAATCCTCACGGTAAGTGTAACCGTTACAAAAGGAAAACGACCGCGGCAAAAATTAGATTTTGAAATAAGCCGCCTCGCGCTCCCTACAAAACTTTTCCAGAACTCGCACAGGTGAAGCCGTTCGCACGTTACGTCCAGTCCTTGGTTGACGTCGACGTCCTTCGCTCAAAAACGCCTTTGCCAGGCCTTTGCTTAAATACGGGTAAGTTCCCAAGTACAACTGCAATCTAAAATCGGGTAGGAATACCGCGCGCGCCATTCCCGCCATTTTTTGAAGACCATGGTAGCCTGGCCTTTTCGTCGTTCTCCAGTATTTCAACATGGCCGACGCATACGGACGAAATCGCATAGCGACTGCCTTTAATTTTATCTCATTTTAGGGCATAAAGAACCAATTTTCTAATGCCATGGACAAGTTTGTCATTAGAACTAAACGTAGCCCTAGACCAGAATGTACCAGCTCAGCGAAAGTGGACAATAAAAAGCAATCAACAATCGAAAGTCTTGCGGTGAGTTTTCAAAATGTTCTAATCACCAATAATTAACGCTTTCACTTACAGCTAAGGTAAACTGTCTTACTTTTAGATCACTTACTTGACTGCGAACAGTCGCTTATTTTTCTTTGCAAAGTTACTGCACGCGAAACCCAAGTACGCGAGATCTTCCCAATCCCTTATTGAAACGTAACGTCGTGGTTTGCAATCTCGCTGGCTGAGATAAGAACTAGACGGATGTTAAGAAAAAAGGCGACCAGCAAGCAGTCTTATCACTTACTAAAGTATCTTGCTGTGTAGCCTGAATGTTTAGGATTTTTTTAGGCTATATTAAAACGCGTTTATACAGGACGTTTTTGGGGGTAATGCAAGGTACAAGGAATTTGACGTTTTACAAATCTAGATAGATAAAGTGAGTTTTTGTTTTTCTAGAGTGTTGTTGTGGTGGAAGAAATACACCGTCTTAAATGCGAACTAGAAAGTGATGTCTCCACCCCTGAAGCAATTTTGTCAGCGTTAAAAAAGTTGGGTACGAAGAACTTGTCTAGAGATGTTTTGCTCTCCACGAAAATTGGCCACACTGTGAACCGACTGCGGCGTCAAGGAAGCAGTGAGGAAATAAGAGAACAAGCTAAGCTAGTCTTTAGAAGATGGCGAGGGTTTATCAAAGAATTAGAAAGAGAAAAGCCTATTATTGAGGTTCACTGTGATAAGAAAACTGAAGTTGTGAGAGGAAAAGCAAGAAAGTTGCTGGCTGATGCTCTTCAAATGACGGTATGATGTTCTCGGCTTATGATATTATTTGAACACTCAGTAAATGCAATCTTACTGCCAGGAAGTTAGAGCTATTGCATTCTGAAACTGAGGCGAAGCCAAGAGTTTTCACAGCTTGTAATACACAACTGCGAGTTTTTTGAACGGCTTCAAAATCTCTAATATAGATCAACTCATTCTTGCTTCGCCTGGAGTTTTTAAACCTGATAATACACTCCTGCTCGTTTTTAAACAGTACTTGACTTGACCTTGTGGGCTGCATAATTATGCAGATAGCTTAGCAATAGAGTTGAATCAGTATACATAGTTTGTCTTTAAAGCAGATGCACCATCCATTATGATACACAAGGTCTTGTCCCTATATACTTACGAGGAGAGGAAGCCTGCATTATGTTTGGAATGGACTGTTACTCTTTAACAAAACTCTTGTGCTACATGTATGTGTACTTGCTTATGCATCCAGAAAAATAAGATATTTTTACATAAATATTTAATAACTTATTTATTAAAAGTGATTACATTATTGTGATGGTACATCCATTTAGTGGTCCTTTCTCTACCAATTCATGAACAAAAAGGAAATTAGAATTGTTGGTTTTTGAGGACAGGGGGAAACTGGAGTGTCCAGAGAAAACCACTCTAAAGTAAGGAGAACAACTCAAAAACATACTCACCTGATATGTGGTAATGTTGCCTGTTGGATTAGAATGTAGGCCCCAATAGTGGGAGGCCTGTGCTCTTACCACTATGCAACCTTGCCCAGCAAAGAAACTTATTGTGGTGTATACAGGCTGAAATGTTTTTTAACTTATCTGTTTTGTTTGTTTGTTTTTTCCTTATTTGCAGATTACAGAAAATTTACCAGAACTTATTGAAAGGAATGTGTTTCATAAGTTTGGCAGGCTTATCAACAACAACTATAAGAGAAAGATGCGGTCATCGGTTTTCACTTTGAAACACAGGGATGCTATCAGAAGTAGGGTTTTAAGTGGAGAAATTACAGTGGAAAAATTTGTTAACTCATCCCCTGATCAACTTTTGACATAGTGCTTGGATATCAATGACTTTACGTTTCACGGAATCTTTTAGGTTTGCTGTACATCAAAAATTTATTATTTATTATTCAACTTAATTTATTATTATTGTTATTGCATAATTATTTGATTTTTTAACCTTTTCTCTTTCCACTGTCTCATTTTGTGTATGTAAAATATTTAGAAAAAAACAAAATTAATGCTCCCATGCAATGGCACTGTTGCAGGGTTTTCATTTGAATAGTCACATCATAGCATCATAGGATTTGGTCAACAGTGGATGTAATATTAATTTTAGGAATAAAAGTGAGGGAATTGAGCACTTTGTTTTTGCAATATTGTGTAGTTTTTTTAAGTTCATGAAACAGAGGTATTATGTAACTCTTTCTTAAGACATAAAGAAAATGTCTCCAGTTAGCACTTTATTGTGATCTAAATATATTATGTAAAGGATATTAAAGGACATAGTTACTTTCAGACAACATCATGACTACATCAATTTATAATATAAATAAGACATGAGCTATACAGTACATGTTGTGCTGGATTTTTACACCCACTTCGTCCCACAAGGAAAGATTTTATTTTGGCCCCATGATAAATCCTTGGTTAGGTCAAGCTGGCTGATCCTTTTTACTACATTTTGGACCTCAACTTGATTGTAGTCCATAAAAATGTACCAGTAAAAAAAGGACTTGGTTAACATCCAGCCAGCCTTAGTAATCAGGACAAAGAAGTGAACCAAGGATTAAGAGTCTGTATTCCCTAGAATACTACCTAAGCCTGTACACCTCTCATAAGTTGTTTAACCATTGTCTGTATTTGATCATTAGTCATGTATTCAGAGTTTGTAATTGCATTAGCAATGGTAATGGTGTGAGAGGTTGATGATGAATTAATCCACACTCTTCCATTCTGTCCCACTGTACATTCAAATGGAAAGTACTTTCCAAGGCATTTTAAAAGAACAAATTCTTTACTGAGGAGTCTGAAAAGGGGAATATGACAAATGAAAATCAATACCAAACATCAATATAAATTTTTCTTTTTATCACTGGTGATCATTTTGTCACTTTTCATAACCTTTATAGATTAAGTAGGGGTGTTATCAGGAGAAGGGCCCATGGCTCGAGGAGAAATTTAGCATACCCCCTAGTTCCCTGCGTGAGCCCAATACAGTCTCAACTAATTACGAGAAATGTGTTTTGAATTTCCCTTCAACCTGATTGGCAAGTCAACAATGACATTTTTAAACAGGCCAGTCATGGTGTGTATTAAAATCCTGGTACACAAGTGAGGGGCCAGAAAAAAGGATTTTAGTGCTGTTTTGCAGACTGACTTAACCAGGCCTTAGTTGTTGAAAAGGTGAGTATAGTGCTATCCATGGGATAAAATACTATCCAGTGGAAAGTACCATTGGATATTGAAATACTGTATTTATTCGATTAACCGCCCTGGGCGCTTATTAAATTTTTGGACCTTGAGAGTGGGCGCTTATTCGAGGTGGGCGCTAATTCGAGGCTGGGTGCTTATTAAATTTTCAACATTGTCAGCAAGTGTAGTATGTGTATTTTCCAACAAAACAATAAATGGTAATAACAGAACGCGAAGATGTAACAAAGCAAGGTTCCTGTAAAATACTAGGAAGAAAACTCCATCTTCGGGGAAGTCTCTTATTAGTATTTATTCAATTTTAGGGGTGGTCGCTAATTTGAGTTCGAGTGGGAGGGGGAGGAAGGTGTGGTGGGGCGGGCGCTTATTCGAGGCTGGGCGCTTATTAACTTTTTCTGCCTTTAGGATGGGCGCTTATTCGAGGTGGGCGCTAATTCGAGGTTGGGCGCTTATTCGAATAAAATTAATACAGTACTTAATATATCCACTGCATAGAAATATTATTTGTCTGGCCCCAGTTGTTCAAAAGCTGGATAATGCTATCCACCGGATAAATCACTATCCAGCGGAAAAGTAT